AGCCATGTACGGAGTACATGCCCGCGGACCTGGAAGATGTTGCTTGCGCCGTGGCATACCGAGCAGCAGTCAACAACACCTTGACTCATGCTCACGTGCGGTGGCAGCATGGTTATACCCGGTAGGTGCCGGATGTAGGGTTTTGAAAATACTCCGAGACGAACCTCGTAGGCTCGTACTCATTGTGTATGTATTTGCGGACAGCTCTTGGGTCGGATCGGTGCAAGACAAAAGAAGAAGAAATTTGCTTGACGTGCTTTGGCAGAAAATGGCAAGATATTCCTCTTGCAAGGTCCATCATTGTCAGTCGGCAATAAACTGTTCGATCGACAGGTTTCCAGAAAAACTGTCATGTCCAAGTCGAACCGTAACGTTTCCTCGGTTTCAACTGGATCCCGAGCAACACCCGTGACTCCACTTTGAGATCGGGTTGGGGGCCACGTCGTGCTACTTGAGAAGAACGTACCATCTGAGAAATGTAACGAGCAAAATGTGAAATGTCAATTCGATATCGTTACGGCAGATGATGTTTGATTTGCACCTTGAATTGTAGTCATTGATAATACCTGGTTGAAAAGAGACAGTCCTGGATTTCACGCACTTTGTAGTTGTATCCAAGTAGGCATTATACCCTGCCGTATTTAGAGCAGACATGAATTGTGAATGGGCTAGCTATTTGGCACGAATAAAAATCAAGCTACAATACATGCAAGGCATCTCTATTATAAGCATACTGTACCCAGGAGCACTGGAATAACACGCGATTGATTTTATACTCTGTTCTTTTTTTCTCTTTTTCTTCTTTTCTTCGTTTTCTTTTTTTCGGACACAAATCATTGTTCTACAGGTCTAGTGTAGGGTAGCTGGCTTGGCTCATTTCCCCCAGACTCGCCCAATATTAAATAGCAAAAAGTGACATGACTGTATTGAACGAGGCGCAAGTCGTATTGGAGGTGGACACAATTTGGTAGATGCTTCAATCGCCTTCCCCGCAGTTTATATACGGAAATGGGTTAGACGGACTCACTGGTTACACAACGAGTATACACATATGTTGATAACCCTCAACAAGTCAAATTTGCCTATATTCCATAGACTACGTACACGATCAAGTGACAAAGCAGGATTGAACTCCGGTCTACTGCGAGGAAAGTAGAAAATGTATTTAATTCATTTTAGAAAGCCTGTGTTGGCGTGTACGTGGTCATGGGCAGTACCTACCTAAGGTATGTACTTGGGTATATATTGCCAGAGGCAGCAGGGTAGCAGATCATGGTCCTCTACATAATGACAGTGACCTTCTACAATATCAATATCACTATAGCAGGGCCCGTCACCCAACGGTCTGGTCTCTCACATCAGGTTTGACATACCTAGGTAGATGGCGGCAAAGTCCATGCCCAGGAATACTTGCAATGCCGAGCGACCATGTACTTCCCCCCTGTGTGTGAAAAAGACTGAGTTTATGACGAATGTTGGAGATATTCTGCCAAATGCCGCAATTGCCGAATGATTTTGCTTCATGTAACACAGCAGCCTGTCGCTGGAGACGATAGAGGCAGCCTGGAAGCAATGCGCTTCTGGTACGTCAGGTTTACTCAGCTAGATGAAAACTTGAGTCTAGTTTGTCATTGTGCAACCGCTCGATGCTGATTTGGCAGACCCAGCGGCATCCCTACGCAACCAATCCCCACTCAGGTAGGTATAGGCATATGTATGATTTTGAATATGACTAGTATTTAACTTGGAAGCATGTCTTTGACCGTGTCAGCCTAGTACCAAATACTACCAATGTGCTTGAGCGGTTCAATTGGAAGAAGCTGCTCAGCACGTTTGAGGCATCGGATCGGAGAAAGAAGCACCCACCACTCGCCTGGCACTCACATGTCGGTGACGAAAACCACACATACGCAGTCAACTCCCGATGTCGAAATGCCTCTTGGTATAGTTAAATATCGGCGCCAGACACCGACGGCCCCACCGACAAATGACGGAGCACCGGTCCTCGATGGTTTCCACGGCACGGCTGACGGAGTAGTGCTGGGACAATCCGGTGGGCGCTAGGCTGAGGCTAGCTCTGACAAGCTTGGAGCTCTGATTCCATTATGATGATGGAAGCAGTGGCATAACTGCTTCAAGACGATGAATTACAGCCTGACAGGTTGCGCGGTGGGCACACAATAACTTGTTCCAGAGCTTGTCATCAGCCCACGACTGGTGATGAGTCTGATGACGCATTCGGGTATTGGAGGGTCCTTGACTCCTTGAAAACCCTCTCGGTTGATCCGGATAGCGCAACGCTTCCATGGCTGACCAAGTGCTGGGATGGCAAGCCAATGACTGTCAAGGCCGTTGGCCAAGGGCCAATGACGACATGATTGTACCAACTGTCCGCACGCAACTTACCCTTTGGGGCCCATGCGGCTCCCTTGAAACCACGATTGCCAGTGAGTCCAGAGACACTGGGGAGATTCGACATGGCACAGCCACAAAAGCAGGGGCAGCTGGCGGCAACCGAAACTTGTTGCATGTTGTGCTGTACCCGTTGGCAACTACATTGTACATACATCAGATATTGCTGCTGCAGGGTTCTGCGGCTCTCCTCATCGACAGGGTCGGCGGCACGAGAAGGCCTGGAGAATGGCTGGACAAGCTCGCCAACTCGCTACGCGCCAGCCGGCCTGCCGCGTGGTCTCGCCAGTGTACTCCGTAGAAGCCGAACAATATGGCTCGATATCGAGTTTCTACTCTGGCGTCCGTTTTGCCTTGTGGTAGTTGTTTGCAACACATGGCCACGATGCGGCTTGCTTCGTCCTGCGGCTCGAAACGGGCGCTTGGTGATGCATCACACCACTCGTCCTAGAACAGCGGCCCCATCAAGCGATGCCTTGGCGGGTGTTGGCGGGTGTTGATGATCGACCAGACGATTCACGCCGCTGGTCAAAAGTAGATTAGCGAGCCCAGTACAGCCTTTATGGTTGGCTGACACTGGGGTTGAAGCTTGGGATAGCTCTGCGGAGACAACGCGGCCGGCACAAGCAGCGAAAAAACTGGGTTCTTGGCTCTTCTCGGCGTCAGGCAAGCCTGGTGAGGTCATACATGATGGATTACTCCCTTGCAACTGCCGATCGCTCCGAGAGGCAGAGCCAGAGTGAGCGACCCAGACACAGACAAGGTTAGAAGGGAGAGAGAGAGAGAGTGACTATGAGAGTGGCTATGAGAGTGACTATGTGAGAGGAGGACACAAAACGAGTCGTTGGCTGTCTTCACCACCGATGACCGATGGGCCGCGACCGAATGCTCCTTCCTGCTTCAGACAAAAAGGGCTGGCCGCCTGCCTCCCAAAACTTCCGAAACTCCTAGAATTCCCAAACCTCTCAAATTCTGTCCCTCCCCTTCCATTCAATACTAGTAACAACCCCACTACTACAGCAAGTTCAATTCCTTGCTCTCCATATCCCTCAACACAGTACTCCGTCATTGTTGTTTTACTTTTCTGCGTCCTCCAACAACCGCTACTTTGGCACCTCGGCACCGCCACAGCTCGCGTCCGCTTCAAGCACCTTTAGGTCGCTGCGCAACCTTTGAAATACCAACATCATCATCAACTTGACGCTCTATTTCACCAGCTCAGCCGTTCTCTCACCATGTACGGCTTCATAAACGCCGTAGTCCGCACCGTCGGTCTCCTCTGGACGCTGCTCATCACGGCGCTCATCGGGAATGTCATTGCCAGCAACAACAATGGCCAGATGGCCACCATCAACTTCACAATGTTTGTCGCTGCTCTCTCGTGGGTCGCCAACTTGTATGGTGTTGCCGCGGCCATCATCTCTAGCCTTAGCATGGTCATTGTTCTCCTCGTCCTCGACGGCCTGGCCACTCTCTTCACCTTTATCAATGCCATCGTCTTGGCCGCCAAACTGGGCGCGCCCAACTGCGGCAACCTCAGAAATGCCAGTCTCTCAAGCAGCTGGATCGGCTGGGGATCCTCCGACAATGAGAAGCGATGCCGTGAGATCCAGGCCAGCACCGCTTTCATGTGGTTCCTCTGGGCCTGCTTCTGCGTTTCCCTGTTCTTCACCGTCAGGGAAGCCCGCGGCGGCGGCGGTCTCCGTGGTTCTGTGCGCTCTGGTAGGCCAAACATGTCCCAGGTTGGCGTTTAAAAAGGCTACTTATTTCCCTCCACCCCCCTTGCAAGAAGCCGGAAAACAAAGCGGAAAACCTTCTCTTTCGCCTTGTTTTCTTTCGCCGTGAACCAATTTCCATTTCGACTCTGTTCTGGGCTTGACGTTAACTGCCATTTTTGTTTCAGGCGTATAATATTTCGTGGGCTGCTGTGGACAGACAACTGGCTGGGGTGGTTTTCATTTCTTCCTCCTTTTTTATTTTTGTTTATTGTTTGCAAGCAAGAACTCTTACTCGCCTTCACTTGGCAATACTCAGTGGTGGCTGCAGAAGTTAGGGTTTGTACGAAACAGATGAAGCGCCAATATATGGACATGGGACCAAAAATGGAACGAGGAAGATGACATGAGTCCGACGGGGCATTCTGGATGGAGAGTGACGGACGTTTTGGAAATTATGGAATAATGAGGTTGTGTATACCAAACTTTAATGACGACGGTGCCGTGAGGGCGGTGCACATGGACCAAACATAGACACTTATGATTGCTGTAGCTATGTATTAATCTATCGCTGTTATTCACTTGAACTGTCATCATGATGCTCGCAGTGAGGCCTGACGCAAATGGACACGACCAAGTTTATGTTGTGTAGATGGGTGGGTGCATGCACACAGTCGTGCTGTCCCGGATGATCTATCGAAGCCTTGCTCATAAGTTGCCTGAACGCCTGAGCAACGAGTAGATGTGATATTATATACAAGGAGCTCGCGCGAGTTGCCAGATATCTTCTAGCCCACGTGTCTCGAAATGTGCTCTTGCCTTCCAGCATGGTGGTTGCCCAAAATTGTTGCCAATGGCATCCCGTCGCCATTTCTATAACGTGGCCGCCGTCTCTGCTATACCCACAGCCTTGAATGCCTTCTTATTCGTCCACCGCACTTCGACTCCGTGCATCCATTCCATGTATCTTCCCCAACCTATTGTCCTTTGGTTAGCGCTTTCCATCCTTGAACATGTACAGCATCTGCATCACGAGCCGTGGGAGAACCATGTGGTGCTAAAAAGGGAGAAGGATTGAAGGAAGAAAGCAAAAATGAAACACACAAGACAGGACATACTCCAATAGGCAAATTTCCTGCCAAAATATTTACCGACCCACGGGATTATCATCATGGTCAGTAGCAACTGGAGCTGCTCAAGGGACCGATCCCATTCGGCCTGGGCGTCGGAGTCGGCGTCGGAATAGACATCGCTTGTGGAAGAAGAAGTCGAAGGGAGGGAGTCAATGTCGTCTTCTTTTTCATTATAGGTGTCTTGGAGGTCGATTAGGGATTCGGCGGCGACCATTGTGACTGAGCTGGCGGTGAAGTGCTAGGGCAGCAGGAGGGAAATGGACAGCCGGGTGAGTGACGCGGAGAGGAGGACGATGCTCAGTAGCGTTGCGGCATTTGCATCAGAGGTGTTCCGTGACACACAATACGAGGTTCGGATGCCCTCCCTGGCTGCGATTCGACGAACGCTCTTTACGTCGTGAACTGGAATTGCAATGCTCACTTTCTCCGATGCTCGCCGTCGCGTCGGCCGGTCACTTCCCCAACTAAACGGCTCCAGCTTGTCATTGGCCCTTCAGTCCTTCCCGCCAGTCAAAGTACATAGAGTCACGTGATACTACACGTGGCATACCGAGGCCAGTCACAGGCTCGGAGCACCCGCCACTGCCATCGCCACTGCCATCACCACGACGAGACGTGCATATCAAGACGAACTCGCTTCTCCTTATCACACATATTTGCTGCTTTGCAAGCAATATAGAACAAACCTGAGGCTGTGTGCTGGACTTCTTTGCATCGCCCTGGTTTCGGCTACAAACAGATTGGCACCGCTGAGTGAGACTTAGCAGCGGCTGACTCACACCAGACATCTCATCTACTGGACTGGACCAGACACCGGCGGCAAAGTAGTCAACGGTCGGGCATATCAAGGCTTTGGACGTCAGTCATGGAGAACGAGGTGAGTTTCCTGCTCTTGCCCCTTAGTTTTCTTTCTATGTTACATTACATCTTATACCCCCCCTCCCTTCTTTTGCCCTTTGCTTCGCACACTGCGTTGGACATCAACGCATCGGGCTCTGAAATGCATGGCATAGTGATTGCTCAGTGAGCTGTTGCTTCAATGCCAATTGTGTTGGCTGTGTAAGCCTTGGGCCAATCCGAGGACCCTCTTTTGTCCCGTCACTGCTAGCCTGGGCTGTTGTAGCCGCTCCATCAGGAGGCGAGGCACACCAGACCTTCCCGACGCCCGCCGCCAGTGCAGGACAGTGCAAACAAAGTCATGGATGTGCACAAATGGCACAAATGTACTCCGTACTCACGACCCCAAGCACAAATAATTTTACCCCACCTTCACCTCTGACTGGCCAAATCCGCACAACACTATCCAGCATTTTTGCCATCATCCCTCCCACCTTGTCACATCCCATCTCTATTGGTGTCTGCCGAGGAATCTTCTGGTCCTGTTTTGGGGGTCTTTGGCATTTACCAGGTTTGACTCATCTCTTCATCTACTTTTTTCTTTTTTCGCCTTTCATCTTCCACTGACCCGATCACGCGACGACCGAACTGCTGGCGTGCCGAGCATTTCATTATTACTGTTCGTTTTGTCTCTCCATCATAATCTTCTTCTCGTCATCATTTCATCTCTTGGCGTTGCATAATTCCGGCCCGACTTGTCCGCGAAACTGTACACAAAAATATATTTGCTAATTGGCGACTGTTTGTTCGCACCTCGCAGGACCGAGTCGAGCGAAAGTCTCGCAAATCCGTCGCTTTCACCGACGAGCAACTCGTAGTTGACGCTGACGGCTCAGTCACGATGGTGACCGCTACCGAGGAGCCCAAGGAGACGGCTCAGTCCCATACGCCTCGTACGCCGCCGTTGTCCGCCGCCCTGGGAGCCTTTACTGACGCCTCAGCTCAAGCCGCTACCGACGATGCCCCCCCACCCGCTGATGGCGGCCTCGACCTGTCTCTCATGAAGAAAAAGAAGAAGAAGAAGGTGAAGAAGGAGGGCGGTGAGGAGGATGACTTCGCTGCCAAGCTGAAGCAGCTGGAGGTCAAGGATGCTGAGGATGCTGCTGCCACTGCTGAGGAGGAGTCCGGTAATATGGATGCCGGCACTGGTATCTGGGCTCACGACGAGACCAAGACCATCGGCTACAGCATGCTCCTCCAGCGATTCTTCCATCAGCTGTCACAGAAGAACCCCGACCACACCCTCACCGGCACCAAGAGTTTCAAGATCCCGCCCCCTCAGTGCATGCGCGAAGGCAACAGGAAAACCGTCTTTGCCAACATTGCCGATATCTGCAAGCGCATGAAGCGAACCGAGGACCATCTTACTGCTTATCTGTTTGCCGAACTGGGAACAAACGGCTCTGTCGACGGAAATAGGAGATTAGTTATCAAGGGCCGTTTCCAGCAAAAACAGATCGAGGGTATGGTCCGAAAGTATATTAGTACGTTGTTATCCCCTTGCCTTTGCCATCAGGTTGAGGCGCGTATTCAAAACCCATCTATGTTCGGTTCCACTGACAAACCAATAGTTGAATATGTCACCTGCAAGACCTGCAAATCCCCCGATACCGAGCTCAGCAAAGGTGAAAACCGTCTGTACTTCGTTACCTGCAACAACTGCGGTTCGCGACGTTCCGTCACTGCCATTAAGACAGGTTTCTCTGCCCAGGTCGGTAAGAGAAAGAAGATGCAGGGTTAAGCTTTTCCCACCACGGTATCACCGTTATTACGCCTCCTGGACCACCGCGATCTCCGTCGTTTGTCGCGGGCTCTCCTCCTGTCTTTGACCCAGTTTGTGCTGTGTAATTTCATACACGAAATTATTTTCGGATTAGTTGTGTAAAAAGGACCATGGTGCGACGTTTGGTCTCGCAGAGGAACATTTACTTGGCTGGGCAAGGCTGACGGGGCAACAAAGGAAAGGAAAAGTTGTGCCGGGGGGAAAGGGACGGAGGGGAGTTCTTGGACTTAAAAGTAACATTTTCATGCAAGGAACGGACAAGAATGATTGACAGTAGCTTACAAAAGCGCCCCCGGATAGAGTAGACGGGATTGGGTTGGGCCATGGTGTTGACGATTGGAGATTGGCGATTTGTTACCATGTATATGACGCTGGAATGATGCATGCTCGCCGCCAACCTTCGCTTTGCTTGGTTCCAGGTGAATGCTTCTATTGCTAGACGGCATTGAACACACATCAGAAATACCATTACGTTGCTACAAAATCGCCCGCACAGGTGGTTCCTAGTTTGGAAATAATCACTGCAAAAGGGCTCACATTTACGAGCAGCGAATGATTGGGGTTGCAAGTGCGCCAGCACCTGCAATATTAGTATCATTGCCCTTGCCACATAACCAAACTTGAGAAAACCAAGAAGAGAGTGAGATGCCGTGTCCATTGTTCCACCCTGTCGCCAGAAAACCTCCCTCATAAGAACAGGATGATAAAACTCGCTCGTCTTTGCCACCTTTTATTTCCTCAGGCTACGTTTTTATGTAACCCACTTCATCCTAATGTACATTTGATATCAAGAAATGCCGCACAGTAGTAAACATAAAATAGAAATAGACACAAGTTCTGTTCTGTGTTTAGAAGGGAAACGCCGCCCAATGGAGGTATTTAAAAAGTAAAAAAAAAAGATGCCCACGTTCAGTAGTCTGCCTAAGACTGGTTGAACAAGGCGGATGTGGCGTCCATCATGTTGTTCTTGTCGTTGTTGCCGTGCATCAATGATGAATGACCTGCAGAAGCTCCTGTTCGTGTAGCTTCATCGGCGGTATTTTCTACCTCGATTTGCGCGGCTTCGAATGTTGCTCGGACCCACTCTACCAAGCGGTTCTTTTCAATGTACTGATTAAGAAGCTTGTCCTCCCAGTTCATTGCATCTAGAAGCTTGGACTGCTCATTCTCAGAAAAGCCCTGGAAGCGGCTGTCTAGTTGGTCCGTGAAGACGCCGAGGGCCTCCTGGGGCGGCATAGGACGGAAGGGATCTCGAGGGTCCTCTGGGGAGAAGAGTTAGTAAAATCTGTGAAACAAAACACACAATATATCTTTATTAGCGGTAAGGCTTACGGTATCGAACGCAGTCCGTCAGCATGGCAAAAAGTTCAGTCTCGGCGAGTCGTTCAACAACCTGACGGTCGTCCTTTAGTTGAGTATCGTTGATTTTGGCCCAGTCATCTCGGATGAACAACCTTCTCCAGATAAGTCTTTTGGCTTGTTTGATTTGACCAGAGCGGCAACTGATATTAGCCACTTTCAGAGCCAGCCAGAACGGATCGGCGATCTCATCCCTAGCCTCCGGCTTCAAAGACACGAGGGTCAACATGTCAATGAGATACATGGGACTAAGTGCCTGATGATCCAGCAGTTTCTGCATTCCATCAGAAAATAGCTGAAGGAGGGCCTTTTGCCGTCGAGGAATATTGGTGCTGTGCCCGTCGACAGCAAATGTCAGTGCAGCAGCTTTGTCCAGGGCAGTACGTGTGCATGGAGCGATCTGATTGTACAGTTGGTCTTGGATCCGTACTACGATGAGCTCATTGTCCACTTGGCGAAAGCGTTCGTCGCGGCGCGCATCATCGGACTTGATCTTGAATGAAGTTTGCTCCTGAGAGTCAGTCTCAGCCTCGGCCAAAAGTGCAAGCTTGCCCAGACTGAGTTCAATTTTCTTCCTCCACACTTGGTCTTCATTCTGGATAGCCAGGTCAAGCAAAGTGTTGGCAGCGTGATCCACATCCTTTTCCTGTTGAACGTCGTTGATCCAGGAAATTCGAGCGAGCTCTGGGCGGCTCCGGAGGAATTTGGTCTTGAAGCCAAGAGTGTCTAGATCGAATTCCAGGACCGACTCAACACCATGTTTGCTGAGCAAATACTCGTAAACGGGAAAGGCAAAAGGCTCTCCGTATCTAGCCAAGTTGTCCTCCAGCTCTGTTGTCTTGGCTTTTCTCAAATTTTTCAGGCTCTGAACCTCCGCATTAGACAGTGAAGGGTCTTCCAAACTGGCTTCCAAAACTTCTATGTGCTCAAGCAGAATCACGGCCAGGGCGTTGAGGCATCCGTGCTTGTCGGCAATCGTAGCAGCTTGCTCCCATTTACCCGCTCGGGCGAGAGCAATCGGCCTGTCATTTCGGTAGGTATCGTACGCCTTGGCAAAGTCTTCAACCGCGCTTCTGTCGGTAGAATTGGCCATTCCCCATCTTGCGCACTCCAAGACGGATGTAAGCATAGCATCTGTCAAGATTGGCAGCTCGTCAAAAATGTGGCCCACAATGACCGGGTCCGGCATGTTTGGCTCGCTTGGTCCGTCTCGCAGGTGTTCATGCTTCTTGAGCCACTGTTCACACAACTCTACCAGGCGTTTAATGCCACTTGCCACGTGCGTGCAACCTGTCCAAGGTTCTGGTAGATTCTTGTAGCCCTCTCGCAGGATGCCCATTCGTAGTTGTTCCTTGCCCAAGCCGTAAAATGAGAGATGACTTTTGCGGAATTCGTGTGCTCCGGCCTGTGCTGTGACGTTGATCTCTACAGCCTCATTGATGAGAATATTCACCTTTATATCATCCAGAAGCTTGTCGGCGTAAAGAACTTTGATAACTTGGTATGCAAAGGTGACTAGTATCTCCAGCCTGAAAATGTCGTTGACAAACCAATGGCGCACGCGATCGACCTCTCCAATACTGGCAATGGGGTTATTTTTCTGATCTTGATGGATGAATTCGACAATCAAACCAATAATGCTCTTCTTGTCTTCGGCAGCTCTAGAGGCAGTGAAGGCTTCCTGAAGCTTCCAAAGCAAGGCTGCAACGTGCATCTTTTCTGCGTTATAGAGAAGGTTCCACCGGGTCTGGCGATCGAGGTCAGCGCCAATAGTGTTGAGGTACTGCATGAGTCTTTGTAAAGCATCGGAACGGGCCACAAGATTGTCCTCTACGGAGACTGGAAGTGTTGATATGTAGGTGGTCGTAGAGCTGAGTATCTCGTGGCTGACTTGAAGAGCGGCCTCGCCGATCTGCTCGTTAGTAAACTTAATGTCCGGTCGCTTGTTAAATATGAGAGGGCTGTCTTTCTGAGACCCGAAGAAAACAGCCTGCTCTATCTTGCTCTTAGCAGATACTTGCGGAGGCTGTTCGCTAGCGAACCTATCGACATCTGTCGTGACGATGCGCACAACACCTGCGCCGCGCACCATGAGCACCACAGCCGGATTCTTGATTTTGTTCCGCAGAGATCGGCTCTCTTCATGGCTGGAGGATGGTGCCAGTTCTTCAAACCCGGAGCCAACAATTTCATGAATGTTGTCTACCTGGAAGTCTACCACATCCTCAAATGAAGGTGTCAAGATGTGGTTGTCCGAACGTAACTGTGAGTCTGGAGATTCGGGAGGAGTGGCGACAGATGCAATTACTGCAGCACGGTCGAACACTGCAAATGCTACCAGAGCAGGTCGAGGCAGGTACACACGAGGTCTTACAGTCTGACTCGGATCCGAAGCGGTGATGGCTGTAGAATATGAAGCAATTGGGCGAATCATTCCCACCTGGCAATCCTTAGGAGTCATAATGACCTCCAGAAGTGCATATCTCGAAACACTGCGCCTAGTGAGGCACACCAACAGCAAAAGATGTTGAACTAATGGATCATCAGTTGCCATTGCGTCGCTCAGCCTGCTGAGTTCCAAATATTTGGGGCCAAGTCCCTTGGGCACATAGGTAAAGTCCAAGGCTTCGAACGAGTCGGCCGGGAAATCTTTGCTGAAGGGATCATTTTCCTGAAGTGCGTGTACCAGTCGATCTCGCATGTCTGCTTCTCCAATTGGTTCATTATGGCCTCCTCGGTGAATCCTCCAGGCTTGGATTTTGCCCTTGCTTGTGAGCGCAACAATGTTTCGTTCCCCAACGCGCGAAGATCTGTCGGCCCGGACAGCGGCAATGTCGCCCCGAAGTGATAAGTGAGAAAAGGCATGCCGTATGCTTCCAAAGATGCCACCCGAAGTCGGCGAAAGGTTCGTTCGCAAGAACTGCACAGAGATGGCGGGCCGTCCATGGCTGTCTCGAACACTCATGTACGCCAATCTCCCGGTATTGAAGGTCAGGACAAAACCGGCGGATTCAGCATTGGTTACTGCGACAACCTTTTCGCCTGAGGACATGCCCGAGATGACGTGTTCAACTCCAGATCGGTCTTTCTTGATGAAGGCGAAAGTTGCAGCGCTTGATATCGATTCCCAAAAGACCACCTTGCCGCTTCCAGACATGACAATGACGAGACCCGGTTCTGTTGAAGATGCAGACGGCGAGACCAGACACCCTACGGGTAGGGGATCGCTTGGTTTTGATGCGGATGGCAAGGTGAATGTGAATGTTTCGGGAGACTGAGACGTCGAGTTGTAAGCCCATACAATGGCATGGGTAGCCGTCAGACTCAAGGCGTATCCGGCGTTGGAAAATATGTCAGCTTGTTGGTTCCCTACATGAGCAGAAGAAGTGGTTGATTAGTGATGAAATGACAAGAATGGGTGTGAGAAAATCGCGAACCTGACCAGTCGGAGCGAATTCGATCCGGTAATGCGGGCAGTTTCGAAACTGTGAATGCGCTCGTGCTATTCTGGATTTCAAAATGGTTAGTGCCATGGGCAGAAGAGTTGTTATTGGGATTTGGAGTCATGCTAAACGCATGGTTGCGTATAACGTACGAGGACGAGACTCCCGTCACCCTTGTTTGCGGCACGATCTCCATGTTTTGACTTTTTCGCTCGCACATTAAGCTCTTTCCGAGGAGTTTGATGAAAGTTCTCCAAGGGAGAATCCTGTTTCGAGTCCAAGGTGGCGACCTTGTCGGCCTTGACGGCCTCGACCATTTCCGGTTGTGCTCCAGGATTAGCAAAAGTTTGTTCGGTAAGAGGCAGGCGTTGGCGCTTAGCCTTTGGTTGCTGAACAAGACTATCGGTACTCTTGGGTCGCTGACGACGGCGAGATCTCGTCGCCGTAGCTGGACCGCCCTCTGCGACTGTGGGATTGAACATGTCGAGGATTGAGAGTGTGTTGCAGTCCGAGGCGGTCGCGAGGGAGGCCTAGGCCTGGCGTGGCAGCGTGGGAGTGGTGATGCAGTGAAGTGGTGGTGATGCAAATGCGGGCAACGAGATGGTATACCGAAATCAGATGGACATGTCGAGATGGCGGGCGAAGAAGGCACCACGGGTCAGATGGAGTGCCTGGGGGAGGGAGCGGGAGAGGAAGACGACAAAGATGAGGATGATGAAGATGATGTAGGGCAGCAGCGCAGGCAAAGATTTGGTGGAGAGAGCGAAGAAGCAATGCCGCGTCGGAGGCGGCTATTGGTTCACAGCAGCGCAAGAAAAAAACAAATGGAGCTCAAAGTGCAAAGGCTAGCGGTCAATGAGCAGTTGAAGCTTAGAGCCCCAGCGGGCCAGTGAGCCAATGGGCCAGTGAACCGGCGAACCCAGTGACATGGAGCCACTGAGCCAGCAGGCCGGTGGGCCCGTGGACGTGGCAGCACGCACAGGGAGGACTTGGCAGGTGCAAGCCAGTCGACACACGTGCAGTGCAATCTCGATGCTCGCCAGCCAACGGCCCCTCCATGTCGTGCCTCAGCCTCAGCCAGCGTCTTGATCTGGTACAACCATCAACCACCCACCACCCAATGCGGTGGCAGTCCAGCTTAAGGTTCGTGGTCAGTTACGGTGCTTATTTTGAACCAGGCCATATTACTCGCCCCGACTGACCATGTGCGGCAGACTTATACCGGTATTGCTGGTAGTTCTACATGAGCCGAGGTTGGCAAGGAGCGCAGCATCTCATCTCTATGCCGCCACTAACAGCAATCTTTGACTTTTCGATTCCTATAAAAAGGAAATGGAAACACCTATTTGACACAGCATTTGCATTGACCGGACCTCAAACCTCCAGACTTCACCCAACCAACCTTGCGAGTTAAACTCACGGCTGAGTTCATGTGAAAATCGCCATGAACACTGCTCGCAAGGGGGAAAACCCACCGACACCATGAGGCGATTCTCAACAGCAGTTACCATTACTGATCCTTTGGTAAAATACCAGACGCTTGTCAAAACCGGCATATATTCCCCGGACCCCGCCCAACACAGGTTGGCACGCCACTTGAGGGACATATATCTTCGCATCAAAGACTATTCACCCCAGATAGAATACCGCCAAAGGCTGACACAAGTTGCGCGCCTCACGGAGTCCAGGATCCCAAACGACGAAGAAGCAGGCAATATTCTTGCCCTGCGAAGCCACAGCATATGGCGCAATCCCCTGTTCAAACATCTCATCCCCAGTGCCGCCGCAGACCGCGACAGCCTCGCTCTCACTCGAGTGCTTAGTGACCACGAAGCCGCCATAGAGATAGGTTCTCCCAGGGGTTTATTCCTCTCAGGAGAGGTGGGCACAGGTAAATCCATGCTCCTCGACCTATTGGCAGACGGATTACCCACGGAATGTAAACGAAGATGGCACTTTAACACGTTTATGCTGTACGTATTTGCGCAGCTCGACAAGTACAGAGAATCACAAATCAACTCTTCTGGCGCTGATTCAGAGTTCTCATTGGTTTGGATGGCAAAAAAACTCGTCGACGAGTCTCCCATCCTCTTCCTGGACGAATTTCAGTTGCCTGACCGGGCAGCCAGCAAGATCCTCAGCCACCTTTTCATAGCATTCTTCCAACTAGGTGGCGTCCTTGTTGCATCGTCAAATCGAATGCCGGAAGAATTGCAAAGAGCAACGGGCATTCATTACGCTCCTGCCTCTCCAAAGGGATTGATGGGCAAGATTTTTGGCGGAAGCACGCGATATAAAGGGGAGCTTTATGGCCAGAGCAGCGACTTTGCCAACTTTCTTGACGTTTTAAAAGCCAGGTGTGATTTCTGGCAGATGGAGGGAGCCACAGATTGGAGAAGAAGAGAGAGCACCGACTGTTCGAAAACATCCATCGTCAGCACTCCAACCAGCACAGGACTGGCTGGCGCAACAGACGATGACAATACCACGAGTCACCACGACTTAACCACGCGCAACATACCATACAACTACTTCTTATATGACAGCCAGAATACCCACAAATTCGAAAAACGGATCGAAGAAACCATTGGGTGGAACAATTCGGCACAGATGCCATGGAGGCCGTCCGCCCTAATCGTATACGGTCGGCAGGTCCTCACCCCCAAACACCACGACGGCACTGTACTTTGGACCTTTAATCACCTCGTCGAATCATTCGGTCCAGCAGACTACATTACAATGGCCTCATCCTACCACACCTTCATTATCGACCAAGTCCCCATCCTAACAGTGCCGCAAAAAAACGAAGCCCGCCGATTCATCACACTCCTTGACGCCCTTTACGAAGCCCGCTGCAAACTTATCATCCGGGCACAGAGCCCACCTGATGATCTCTTCTTCCCACAAAACGAACCCCTCACAAGCCCCAGATCCAAGGACAGTCAACCCGACGGCGACGCAACCTACTCTGAGACCATTGCTGAAGTCTACCAGGACCAAATGGCCCCCTTCCGACCCAACGTGTCATACTACGACACCAAAGCATCCACGTCAAAATACGATCCCGATCAAGACTCCGACTTTGGTCTGCAAAAGCAGAGTATCAATTTCGGCAACACTGGTGCGTTCACGGGTGAAGATGAGCGATTCGCTTACAAACGCGCCATCTCACGACTGTGGGAGCTGTGCAGCGCGACGTGGCACGCCAGGACAGGATCTTGGTGGCAGCCGCTCCCTCTCGAGGCTAGGCACTGGGAAGGCGGCGTAGCCTCGCAGCCAGTCCAAACGAGCGTCTCATCGAAGAAGCCAGATACAGGTGAAAGAATGGGCGACAGCATGGAAATAGACGTGGCTGGGCTGTCCAAGTGGAAAGTAGACGATTTACGCAAACAATCCGACAGCGAGAAATAAAAGACAATCCCAGTAGATGCAGATATAGTAAAACATGGCTACTAAAACTTGCAAAGAGACATACAAAGACACAATGCACAAGCTCCCGGATATCATGAGAAAGGAAAAAAAAGGCCCCAAAACCAGAAACGCCACGCCAAGTATGCCAGCTTTTGTGTCTCCTCGCCAGATCCTCCAACACGCCCGTCCGCCTCACAAACTAGTCACACCCGGCGTCCACGCCTCCCCAATCCTCCTCATATCGCTGTCGAACCTCCTGCTCACGATCCTCTTGCCACCGGCACCCCCCAACGGCGCATGCTCATCCGGCTCGTAAAAGGGGTTCTGCAGCAGCCGCACGTAGGCGCTCTGCATGGCGCGAAACACGGGCTTCAGCTCCGTCTCACGCAGGCCCGCGGCGGCCTGCCTCCCGCCCGCGGCTTCTATCCTCCTGCCGCGCATGTCGACGACGCACACCATCCGCACGCCTGTGTTGGTCTCGTACCCGTACGCGGCGAGCCGGTCGTCGATGGCGTGGAGCAGGCCGACGTCGCCGGAGAGCCCGACGCCCGACGCGGCGTTTGCCTTGGCGCGGAGCTCGAAGACGTCGATTGTCGAGGAGAGGAGGAGCGAGAACTGGAGCGGGCTGCGGATCGGCGTGAACGTGTTGGTTGCGGCGTCGTGCGAGGGGAAGATGGAGACGTGCAGCGGGTTGTTCTGTTTCTTTGGCTTTAGCGACTGCGCGAGCGGGTGGACGAGTAAGTATACTAGAAGAGGGAGGGACGCACGTTGCGGCCGATGACGCCCAGGCAGGCGATGGAGGGGATTGCGGTCGTCATGGTTGCTCCCGGGCTGGTGAGTTTGGGAGTTGAGGTCGGTTGATGGGATGGCTTGAGGTCCGGAGGTTTTGGAGCGGTGGGGTATCGACGGTGGGGATCGGAGAACGACATGCACCAAGCCAACAGTCCAACACGGTGTATTTCGTAGTAGTAGTACTTGAGTAGCTTGAGCTGTACATATGTACACATGTAATACTCGACATTGAACACTCAGAAGCGCGTTTCATCGTACAGGATATCAAGGAGGCCCTTTTCCAAGTCGTCAAATAACCCTACTGGGAACACGTCTATACGCCCACACAGCTTGCCAGCTTGCCAGATTACACGCCAGTTGATACATGGCTCCTCTCTCAACCGCCGCCTACTCATCGTCACCACCAGCCGTCTCCTCCAACCCCCTCAACACCTCGTCGATGTCACTCGGATCCGTAATGGCCCAGACTCCTCCCCCCTTGACCGAGTCCTTCCCCCTCATGCCGACCTCCTTCCCTACCAGATTCCGGCCAACCTTGCCCGGCCCTATCCCAACCCACCGACGAACTTTTTCCTGCTGGTCCAAATACCGAATACTGTCCCACCAGCGGACCGTCTCGAGGCACCCCCTCGCCAGCAGCTCCTTCAGCTGCTCCTTGCTCCGAAACGGCCTCGCCGTGACGTTGCTTATGCACGGAATGTCTCCGGGAAACGTGATGATGTCCTCCCCCTCCCGCCCCGGAACGCGGCTCTTGTCCTCCAGCAGCGACTGCATCACGGCAACGGCCGGCTTCATGATGGGGCTGTGAAACGGGCTGTCGCTGTGCAGGCGCACCGCCCGCGGGTCGTGGCCCAGAAACTGCCGCACGTGCGCCATGAGCGTCGTGATGCGCTCAAGGTTGCCGCTCAGCACGATCTGGTTCTTGCTGTTGATGTTGGCGATGAGCACCTGCTCAATGGGCGGGACGTGCTCGCTGCTCTCGCCCTTGCTCCCCGCGCTCGAGTGGCCCACGAAGTCGTGGATGGCGGCGATCAGGCCCCGCAGGTACTCGGGCTCCGTGATGATGGCTACCATGCCGTACTCCCCGCCGTAGTCCTGTATGGCCTTCTTGGTCGCGTCCGACATGGCCGCCGCGCGCCGCTTGACGAGGTACAGGCTGTCCTGGAAGGTGATGTATCCGCCGGCGACGAGGGCGGCAAATTCGCCGAGGGAGTGGCCGAGGGTCATGTCGAAGTTGTCGGCGACCTTGAAGTTGAACTCGCGCTCGAGGATCTTGAGGATGACGATGGATGTGGCCATGATGGCGGGCTGGGCGTTGGTGGTCTGCGTGAGGACCTTGGACGGCCCGTTTTGGATGACGTCGGAGAGCTTGAAGCCGGCGTAATGGTCGACTTGTTGAATGAGTTCGCGTGCCGTCGATGGGAAGGCCTCGAGCCATGGAGTTAGCATGCCGACCTTTTGGGTTCCTTGGCCTGTGATGCGCTTGGTTAGCCTTTGCCTGGTGAGCCCTTCTCCATGTACATGTAGATGGATAAGTTATTGGGGCAGTTGTTTTAATAGGGTAGTGTAGTTCCGTACCCGGAAAGAAGATGGCCGTCCGCGGCCTCCTGGGCCTCCTCGAGCCCATAGACATCCATCGTCGCTCGTGCCAGTATGCGTCATCTTCTCCCGCGAGAGTCGCGTTGACCCGTGGAGACAGGCGCTCACCCTGCGTCTTGACTGTTGCACGCCGCCATCGGGGGCGGAATGCGCTGCTACTAAGGCGCTGCATAGCCGTGCCAAACGGCTCGAGTGTGAGGAAGCGGGATTCACAGCAACGCATTCATTCTGGCAATGGACGAAAACAAGCAGGATCCAACACCTCTGGCGATAGTAATGTTGTATTGTCGCTTGGCCCAGCACGTGGGGCAGATGTGGTGCAGCAGAGCCCCGGACCTCCGGACATGGACTTCAAATGGGGACCAGTTGACCTCTGGCAGCGCCTCTGGAGCGATGGTAGCCGCCATAATGGAGCCGCCAGGGGGGCTGTCAATGGCGGCCAGCACATTGATTGATGCCAAGCTTGACAGCTCCCCCACTCTCCCTCCCCCAACTCCCCAACCCCAGGTGCCCAGTGCCGCAATCCATTGTTCCTTTTGGCCCGAATTGCCGGGGACATGGAGCCCGTTCCAGGGTTCCAGGGCCGAGCTCCAGATCTCGACTTCTTTGGGCTCCTGGCATGTGCAATTCTGCTCTCGCCTTATACTTGACCGGCACATATGGCGTCATTCCCTCCTCCTACTCTTCTGCCATGTGAATCCAACCAGATCGTCTCCTGTCTGCAATATTATTAATTCATTCAGTTCATTCCTCATATCATAATATCTAACACCGCATCTCTACGCCCCCCTTGCTAACGGTCAGATACTTGACCCCTTTGTACGGCTTTACGCCTTCAGCCATGCCCCTACTTTTCCTTGAATCCAGCAAAATACTATCCACCTTCAATCCGCTCGCAAGCCACCCCTTCACCGTAAAGCTCACTGACGCTGAGCTCGGCATCAGAATCTTGTTTTGCGCCACCTTCTTCGCGTCCTGCTCGTGGCTGTTACCCGTCTTGCCTCCCGCCTTGGCCGGCGCGCTTTGATATGGCTCATTATAGGAGTAGTCATGGTTGAATGCAAACCCGCTGGGGTCAAAGTCCTGTACTTCGTCATCTATTGGCCCAACCACTGTGCAGCGGAGTGCAAGCGATGAAGTCGATCCAGATAGCTCCTTGGTGGGGACCTGCCACTCGAGAACTCTTTCTCCGGGGTTGAAGCTGGCGTCTCCTCTGCTCGGTCGAATATCGGAGAGGTTTCTCACGTCTTCGGGTAGCGGGATCGTGACGCTGAGCCCTTCTAGCAGCGGCGCGCCAGGTGACCCCGCATGAGGCGGTCCAACTCGTCCTGACCCGATTCCTCGTCCAAATTGGCCGGGACCAGAGGTAGACTGGCTGCCAAGAATCTTGTTCACTTGCAGTCTGACTTCAAACTCCAACCCCGCAGGGCCCAGTCCGGTCTTCATCTCCAAGTTGACAGGTAGCTTGAGATTATTCGCGCTTAAACTTCCACTCTTGCCGCTGGTAAACGGCAGCAAATCAACCTCGTACCCCGCCAAGATGAACCGGCCATCAGGCGGTATAAAGCTCAGTTCACCCGGCCTCTCCTTCCATGTATTCAGACGAACGCACGGGTGAAAAACGGGCAGCTCCATGATGCCGCCAACATTATGCTTCCCCGACGGACTGCTCAGGTTCACAGTAATATCCGGTACGCCGGAAACCTTTGCCGTAAACACAATGGACCCATTTGCAAATGCTGCCAGCGGCCGTCCCGACGGCGCAAGAGTCACAGAAAGAGTCTCAATGACATCGGCGTACATCTCGTTGGAGGTGTGTCGTACGTTGGCACTTCGCCACGGTAAGGCGGGCGTATTGGATAAATTTAAGCTTATGGGTGTTTTGCTGCCCGCAGTTGATCAGTTCTTGGAGCTCCAGACCCCTCCCCGGGGACAAACGCAGCACAATTACCTAGGCAAGTTAAAGCCACCGAAAATCTTGTCCAACAAGCCCTCCATTTCGACGTTTTCCTTCAGAGCATTAGGCTCGGTAGTGTTTATCGTCCCCGCGTCACACATTTCCGTGAGAATCTGTGCCGCTACATGGTAGTTCCTCTCAATCTCGGACGCGAGAAGCGGGGCGGCAATGATGTCTTCGAAGGCGTCGATTGCGCGGTGGAGAAACTCGATAACAAGAAGCGGTTCTATTTCGGTAGAAGAGGTCGCTAGGAATAAAAGGTTCGCATGGGTTAGACTGAAGATGAGAGTGGCCGGACTGGCATTGGGAAGATATATCAAGTTCGGCCTGGGAACTGGGTGCTCGAGATAGAGGGGCAGCAGGTGCTTGGCGGAGAGAGGTCGGCCGGTGTAGGTATGCGACAAGATGGGCTTCCTAGGTCTCTTAGCACTGGCAGAAGGTGTCAATGGGTCATGGTATTCGAACCTGTTATCGTCGTATATGTGCAGCGCCTCAATAAGGCCGTTCATTCTCGCGATTGCCGTTGCTGGTGGCACGGTTTCGAGCTTGTCAGATGCTTCAAAGGAAGGACGTCTGGTCCAAATGTTGCGCCGCACACGCGACTCAGCGAAAGGGAAGCTGGATAGTGCTGACTAACAGGGGACTAGCTGCAATAAACCAGAACGAGACCACCAGCCAGGACCCCAATTCGCTGTGGCGTCCATGTCGCAAGCTACCCCCCAGTACGGAGTACACTATGGGTACCTCTACCTAGCTGTGGCTCAAGCATCCGCTTCAATGTTCCCATAGTCTGGTTCCAGATCGTAGCTTCAAAGCTCCAGTCGTCTCTATTGCTTCAACACAGTTCTGTCAACTCGCAGCCATGGCCGGCGACAAGCCCCCTACCATCCAATCCCTCGACAAACCAGAAGATCTCAAAGGTCTCCTCCGTCAAGACCGTGGCGATGACTGCCTAAGCTGCAAAATTGTCGGTAAGATGCTACACCTTTCCCCAACCAGGAGATGTTTGCCGCGGAATTTAACAAGAACACCCCATCAGGAAGCGGCGCCTTTTTCGGTCTAGGAGCATACAGCTACTTCTCCGGCATGTCGCAGCTAGAAAAGCAGCGCCAGGCCATCCTGCAGAGCAAGTCCATGTTCGGCATGAGGAGTCGCAAGTTTGGCATCGTTGGTATTTCGCTGGGCCTGGTGTGGATGGGCCTCTGGAGAGCGTTCCGGTGATTTGTGTATATTAAAGAATGGTTCTGTACGATATTGTAACATAGTATAGCATAATTTCACGATTCGCATGAATACATGGTTTTTCTGTGCCATCCATCCCCCGTATGTGATGTCTGATATGTGAGGAGATTGTACTGGTCACGAGCAATCCTCGCTTGGGCCCGGTTTCTTACCATAAAACCGAATATACAACATCTTCAACTACTATAGCTCGCAATCTAGTCACTGACTTGTAAAAAGCAAAGTAAAAAGCAGCAGCTCTCTCCATTCCACGGCGCATTGTCAGTCGCAACAATCCACCCGGCTGCACCAACGAAAATCTTCACTTTATCAACGACCCACTTCAGACTTCACCTCACCTCACCTCGACTCACCATCAAACTCATAAACCTCGTGTCCAACTCAACATTGCCCATATGCAACCCCAAACGAAAGGCCACCGATAACAGTATACACATGCAAAAAGACACCAGCCAAGAGAAATAGCAATCCAACACCAAGCCACGCCCACAGCGGCGCATAATCTCACCCACACATATCGCCGCCCACGCCTCGTCTTCACAATGCCCATCACCATCCTCAAACCACAAGCCGCCTCCCGCCGCCCACTCTCATCCCTCGTCGCAGAGCCCGACTCCGACTCCGACCCCGACTCCCCCGGCGGCGTCGACATCGAAGGCGACGTCTCCATGGGCGGGACCAAGCGAAGGCACAGCATAGACGCAGACGAGATCCTCACCCCCGGCACCATCATCACATCCAACCCCCAGTGGATGCGGTAAGTAATTTTTTTTTCCTCTTTACCCCCTTCACCCATCCTCCCCCCCAAAAAAAAAGACGCGCCAGTGCTCACAAGTCCCAGCGGCCACGGGACATATCTGCCCGCCTCGACGCAGTCCATAACCTCCTCCCTAGCCGGCACGCTCACCAAGACCAACAAGCTCCTCTCGGTGCGGCCCCTGCGCGCGCGCTACACCCCCGAGATAGGCGACCTCGTCGTCGGCCGCATCACCGAGGTGCAAGCCAAGCGGTGGCGCGTCGACGTGGCCGCCAGCCAGCTCGCCATCCTGCAGATCAGCGCCATCAACCTCCCCGGCGGCATCCTCCGCAAGCGCACCGAGACGGACGAGCTCCAGATCCGCTCCTTCTTCTCCGAGGGCGACCTCGTCGTCGCCGAGGTCCAGCAGCTGCACCAGGACGGCGCCGCCTCGCTGCACACCCGCTCCCTCAAGTACGGCAAGCTGCGCAACGGCGTCTTCGTGAGCGTCTCGGGCACCGGCGGCGGCGGCGGCGTCGTCAGGTCGAAGCGCCAGGTGTGGACCATGGAGGGCGCCAACGCCGCGGGCAAGATTGACGTGCTGCTGGGCGTCAACGGGTACATCTGGATCAGCAAGCACCTCGACAGCGAGGTGGCCGCCGAGGCGGCGGGGATCAACCGCATGGAGGAGAGCGTCAGCAGCAGGGTGTACTCCAGCCAGAATGACGACATCGACGTGGCTACCATGAGGGAGATTGTGAGGGTGAGGTGTGTGATTCTAGCGCTTGTTGAGAACGGCGTGCGGGTGGATGAGGATATGGTCGAGAGGGGGTATATGGAGGCTGTGGAGATGGCGAGGGAGGATGAGGGTGATGATTTGTATCTGGGAGGCGACAAGGGCTCTCGGCTGGCTGCCATTTTGGCCGGTCGTTGATACGAACCGCAACGAGTGCCACAAGTCGCTGCTGTATTCTCATGGTCATGGTTGATAAGTGCAGAAGCGGCCGCTGGTTGCATGCATTGTGTTTCCCTCCTTCCGTGATGATGTGGACTACTCATAGATTGCGGTTTTTAGACGGACAGAATAAAGCCAAGGAAAGGGTTCGGCTTCACGGCCATGTGAAAATATAGTGGTGTTTTGGTTCTTTTCAAACCAGGTGGCGATTCTACATAACGTACAAATCCTACCGATGTTGGATACCAAAAAAAAAACAGACTTGGACTGTGATCCTGTCATATGTGTCGCAAAGATATATATTCCTCCCCATCGCTCACACATCACATCAGTCTGCCTAGTTTTCCCCTCTTCGAATTACATCTCAACACACATCCCTCTTTCATTAAATATGACAAAAAATGGGTATCGGTACGGGACGTATTGTTCGTAGAATGACATTGTTTTACAATTCTCAGTCGTCTTGCTCGGGCGATGGTTTCGCGCCATTTACAGGCCTAGCGAATTTCTCTTCAGCCGAAAGAACATGGCAATCAGGGCAAAGATGATCCCCCACCTTAGTGCTGCACTGGATGTGCTCTTCCCACCGAGGCCGAACAGGAAACCGAGCCAGTACTTGAGACCTTGGGTAACGTTGCCCTCACGGTCAAAGTTGGGTTTTTGTCCATTCATCATGCGGTAACGGCTTAATTCGTCCCATGAGTACGGCATATAGCGTACGCGAAGGACCTTTTCTGCCCATTTGGGGACTTGGGTGATGACGCGCTGGTGGCTAAAGGCTTTGAAGGAGTAGTAACCGTGGTAACTACCTTGGCCGGAGGAGCCAATGCCGCCGAGGGGGGTGGCGTTGATCATGGCGTGGAAAAAGGCATCGTTGACGGTGGCACCCCCTGACGTGACATTGTTCAGGACTGTAACCATGCATTAGATTATTTAATTTTGACAAGACGCTTTTTTTTTACTGGAAAGAGTGCGTTTTCTACCGTGGTAAGTGTGCGCAAAGTTGAGTCCTTAACATACCTTTATTATTTTCTTCATCAGAACCAAATGTGAAAAGAGCCAACGGCGTCGGGTCAACCTTGTTGGCAATGTCAATGGCCTCGTCGAGATTATCAAACGGCATGATAGACCAAATGGGACCGAAACTCTCCTCGGCCATCATAGTGTCCTCAACATCGTCGACGAGGACGGCCGTCGGCTCGATCCACAACTTCTCTTCATCAGACCCGCCTCCCATGACAATCTTGCCCTTGGAGTTGTTCAGCATCCTCATCAGACGATCGAAATGGCCTTTGTTGACAATACGCGACAAATCACTGTCCTTGGCGCCCTTGGGCATGAATGTGCGGTACTGCTTGTTTACTTCGGCGATGAACTCATTCAAGACGGGACGCTCAATAAGAACATAATTGTGCGACAGGCACACCTGGCCAGCGTTGAGGCACTTTTGCCACAGAAGACGCCTGGCGGCGAGCTTGACATCACCATTCTTGGTAACGAAGGCTGGGTTTTGGCCACCAAGTTCGAGAAGAACGGGTGTGAGAGACTGGGCAGCCTTGGTTGCGATGATGGCACCAGTCTTCTTGCCACCGGTAAAGACAATCTTATCAAACTTATGCTCCATGACATGTTTAGTTTCCTCCAAGGCACCGTTGACACATACATAACAATCCGGGTCGAGGTACTCGTCAAATATCTTCTTGAGAATCATGGCAGAGTGAGGCGACAGCTCAGAGGGCTTGAGTATGACACAGTTACCGGCGGCAATGGCGCCAATGACGGGAGTGAGATTCAACTGAAAGGGGAAGTTGTAAGCACCAATGACGAGCACCTGGCCCAAAGGCTCGTTTCTTATACGCGGGCGCATTGGCCAGTAAGTCATAGGCAGGTCGACGACGTATTCATCCTTGGCCCAGGTCTCGAGCTTATTGGCGACATTGATAGCCTCGTTCTTAACCCAGTCAATCTCGGTGACGTGAGCCTCAAACTTGCATTTTCCCATGTCCTTCATGACAGCCTCCTCAATGAGTTGCTCATAGTCAGAGACGGCCCAGTAGAGCCTGCGGATCTGCTGCAAACGAAAGTTCATGTCCTTGGTCTTGTTGGTGCGGAAGGTCTTGCGCAGACGCTCGACGTGGGCAGTGATGCCGTCAAGGGAAGCGGGCTCAAAGGCCGGGATGGGGCCGGTCTTGACGTGAGCCATGATGAAGGATGCCCGGCCGACTCTCTTTGGCGGCGACGATGCAAAAAGACGGACGCGGCTTATACAAGCTCTTGGTCCAAGGGAGCGAGCTATAGGAAGCCACCTAAGGTGCTGGGTTCTCCGTACTCGCAGGCTAGGAGCTCGGTTCCGGTGGGAGCACTTGGAGCTTGGCGGGCGGAAGAAACTGGCCAATGCGTACCAAGGGACGGAGTGCTCGGGAATACGTAGTCAACCAAGTCCAACAGACAGGGATGAGGACCGATGAAGTGCAGACAGAGGTGGATGCGAAATGGGAGAAGGGAAGTGAGAGACCAGAAACGGGAAACGGGAGGTTTAAAAGGTCTAAACCCAGGCCCAGCAGGAGCAGCAGATAGAGATGCGGGTAGCTACTCTACTTAAGTTGCAGGGACCTTCAGGGCCATCGGTACCGAACGGGACATAGACCGAAGTAGTCGATACCTCAGTGCTGGCTTGGCCAGTGAGCAACGCCAAGTACTCATAGTGAAGGGTTAACCGTTGAAAAGTAACACAACATCTGGCGCTACACCGAAAACCGGCACCGGCACCAGCAACGTGCCGCCTGGCCGAACCTCGCACAAGCATCAGATGCGCCAGGTGCCTTCAACCACCATCGTGCCCCAGACGCCTCGAATTGCTCGTAGGGACGCGCCGCCGGACAAACACCAATAGGAGTGAACAGTTGCCGGCCATGTCTCCTCGACAGACCTCCGAATGCTCCTTGCTCCCATGGCTTGCAGATCCGCCATCATTCGAGGGCTCGGTAAGGAGTCTGATAGATTACTAGTCGGCCGACACACGGGGCCACGGCCCAAATTTCCACGACGGAGCACCATCAGTAGCCTCTAAGCCGGTGCCTGTCCCCCCCCAACGCGACCTCGACAGGCTTGCACATGTGAGCTCTGTGCTCTGTCGCGCCCCACGTTCCGCTGGACGCTGAATTCAGGACTGTCCAAGGCCAGCGCAAAAGAAAAAGAAAAAGAAAAAGAAAAAAAATCAAGGCAGACACCAATAAGAGGCCCAGCTTCCTCTACCACATGCTTCTCGCGTGGTACAATCCAGACTCAAAAGTACTAGTACTACGTAGTACGTACTAGTATTTGCCGAGGCAGCAAAGCCCCGCCGTGTGACAACGGGACATGTTGTGCATTTACCCGCTTCTCAGCCCAATGCAAGCCTCTTCTATTCTCCGCAAACTACGGAGGACTCCGTACGGAGTAGCTTTGCAAAAGTTCATCCAACTACGAAGCATGTACGGAGTGGCTTGATGTACTATTCCTGGCGAATGGAACCTGGTGAGGAAATGGCAGGGCGGACGGCTGGAAATTCAGTTCAATCCAGCTAGGGCGAGGTATCACGGAAGGCAGCTTGGAATCGAAAGATGGGATCGAGTCCACGTCCATCATTCTCATTCAACGTACTTGGGATGGTGTTGATGTCTGCATCACGCCCGAGAAGCCAAGTCCCAGTCATACCAGACACCATTGATATGAGTACTCGACGCTCCTGTAGCAGGGACTACTCACCACCTTGCTAATGGCCTTGCCCACCGCCGGTATCCAAAAATTAGGACATGAATTTCTACATCTACTGTACATCCAGGGCACCCACGCCCAGGCTATCCGCATGCTCAATTATACAGATCCGGCCATGCCAGAAGCCACCCCCGACCGCTAAACAGGATGAAATTTACAAACACGTCTACCTCCTTGCTCTCGCATGCGCAGCACCCTTTCCGGCCTTGGGCGCAGGCACCATTTCTGCAACCTTTTGCTTCTCCTGTTCCTCAATCAGCTTCTGCATCAGATAGCTGTCAATGGCCTGCTTGCCGTCCACCAGCAATCCACCTTCGGCTCGCTCCATGTCCGCAATCGCAGCCGCCTTTCGCCGTTCGTCCAGCTCCAGTCGTCGCTCCATGGTCATTCTCCATTCCTTGGGGAATCTCGGCTTCTCCTTGATACGGTGATGTCTCAGGTCCAGAGGCACATCCTCAAAGGTATCCTTGGGGTCTTTGGCCGCCGCAATCAAATCATCCACTAAACCTGTTAGATAGAGCTTGTTCTGGGCCTGGTGCTCGTAGCTTTCGCAGCTGATCTTGACGAGGTCCGTCTCGGGGTTGTACCGGGGACCGGCAAGCTTCTTCAGCTTGGCCGTCTGGACAGGCGTGAGCTTCAGATCGTCGGGGGCGAACTGGACGACTACTTTTCTTTCGGCGGGGTGTGATTCGCCCATGTAGGTTGTGTATCGCCAGCGGAGGACTTCATTCTCCTTCGGGGGCACGAAAGGCTTGGCGAGTTCTGTCACGGCCATGTAATTAATTTCGGGTGCCAATCTTTGGTGTTCTCTGCAGGGGGGGGTACAACTTACTGGCGAGAAGAGGCATCTCCCAAGCTGCCAATCGGGCGTAGTGTCTCATCTCTCGAACTTCCTCCAGCTTGCCATGCGCCATAGAAGTAATGTCATCTTCATCAAACTCATCATGCTCCTCGGTGTTGGTTTCGGGGTCTTCCTCGTCAAACCAGAACGATGACTTATTGGGCTTCTCGCCAATGTCGTCCTTGAGTAATTCCTCTTCCAATGCTCTGTCTTCGGATGCCCAGCCAGGCGTCTGTCTCAGTTTTGCTGTTAAGAACTCGTCGATCGTGTTGTAGCCGTTTGTCTTGGCCAGCTCGTCAAGCTGTCGCAATCCTTCGGGGGTGGCCGTCTCAGCGAAAGCCTTGTTCATGGTCTTCAACTCCAACTGCTGCGGTGACTCTCCCTCGCCCTGTCCGGCCCCCTCCTTTTTCGTCCTCTCGTCGGTCCATCGCGCAGATGACGTGCTGAATGCTCGCTGGGCAGCGAGGCTTTGCCGAGAAATTTGCCGTGTTAGAGGCAGTGGATGGACTCGAGGGGCCCTACGGCATGCCAGCGCACATAGCCTTGCGGCATTTGAAGCCGACGCCATGTCGAATTGATTGAGGTTGTACCAGCCCCGACCTGGATATGTAGCTATCAAAAATTTGGCAGAGGTCAATTGAGTGGCAGTCGAGGAACAGAAATTTGCCGGTGTTTTGCCATGCTTGGCGCCCCGACGCCATGCTGGATGGCAGTGGATGCTGTGGCGCGCAACGTGCAAGCTCCACTTGGTGACCTCTTCAATGAGACTGAGAGATGCCAGCTTTTCCGCCTGGTGTACAACCTCGCTTATACCATCTGCCTTCCCAACAACAATGAGGTAGAAATACCAAATTGAAAATGACTTCAAATTCAGGTGCCCTCGAAAGGTACTGTCTCGTCACAGTCGGCGCAACTGTTGGGTTTGAGGAATTAACAAAAGAAGTTCTCCAATCTGCCTTTTGGCAGTTTCTCAGAGAACAAGGCTTCACAGCCCTGCATGTCCAATGTGGACCTGACATTCCCTGGGCCAGTGCCCGATTCTCAGACCAGAAGGAGAAACTCCCCAAGGGGTTCGATGTTGACGTGTTTGACGTCAAACCCAATTTGATGAAGGACGAAATGGTTCTCTGCCAAGCTCGCCCGGGACAGCGAGCCCAAGGCTTGGTCATCTCACACGCAGGTCAGTGCTTGCAACCTGCAGATATGCCCCAGTATTGCGTCCTGATGCGATTATTTAGGGACTGGAACTATTCTTGATGCGTGGAAGATGGGGCTTCCTCTCATCGTGGTTCCCAATACCCGATTGCTCAATGATCACCAAACCGAAATGGCCAAACATCTTGCGAGGCAAGGTTACGCAACCATGAGTTCCGCAGAGTCAGTATAATTAGTTCACTGTGCCAGTTGTAGTAAATTGTGTGCGACTGACTTGTATTCAGCCGTCTTGATCTTCAGGAAGCGATTCACAAGGCGGTCCTTCTTTGGGAAGAGAATAAGACAACACGATGGCCGGCCCATAATGTTAGGGGTAAGGAGAAGGAGACTCTGGGACTCTGGGACATCAGGCCCGGGGAAGTAAAGAAAGAAGAAATATCGCAGATGTCTCATGACTAGGCGCATAGGCTCTATCGGTATATCTTTCCTCGCGCCAATTCTCAACCTAGGAAGGCCTAATGATGAGCCCCTACATTGACAGGTGAGCCATGATTTCGCAAACCATGCTTCAACTTCATATTGCGTTGGGGAGTTTTGGGGTTTGGGGTTTACAAATTTGATCTCGTTCGTATTTGGCTCGGCCTCAATACTGTCACAAATGTACTCAGCGAGAGCTGATAATAATAAAGGAGTGATACGGGGCTCCTACGCAAGTCTTATTTATATTCAAGGCAGGTTCTTAACGTCCCAAATCTTGACGTTTGCATCCCCTCCTGCGCTGGCAATCTGTCCGCCTTCTATCCATGAGATGCCATTAACTCCGTCCTTGTGTGCGTTGGCAGCCTTGATTCGCTTCCCTTGGTTTCTCTTTTCCAAACACCACACAAAGACGTTGGTGTCTAAGCTTCCGCTAGCTGCGTATGCGCCAGAATCATCCCAGGCAATGCAAGTCACGCGCGCCGTGTGGGCAGACCAACGATCTGAAGCCACCTCCCATGTTGCGGTATTGTATGCATAAATCTTGCCAACGCTGTTTCCAGCACCCAAGTGAGAGCCATCCTTGGAAAAGGCCAAAGCGGATATTGTTCCAGTAGGGTTCGTCAATGTTTGTAGTTCTTCCAAGGAGCCCCCGGAGCTGGCCTTGTATACCTTGACAGAGTTTTTGTCCGCTCCAACGGCGACCAAGCTTCCGGAGGCGGCAATGGATGTCGGAGTATAGCTGACTGCTGTCTCTTTCAGAAGCTTCCCGCCAGAATACGCCGCAATCGACGAAACCGTGGCGACATAAAGGACACCGTCGGATGCACTGACGCCCTTTGGTTGTGCCGCAAGACTGATGGGCTCGCCCACAAAGGTGCCAGCTGATTCATCCGCAATCTTCACCGTGTCATCCCAGCCAGCGGTATAGATTTTTCCCGCAACCCCTGTTATCTGTACAACCTGGTTGGTATGAGACCCTCCATCCACCACACTAGCCGTGCCTGTTTTGATGTTCCAGTGGCAAACCCGGCCATCAAAGCTTCCTGTCCAGAGCGCAGAGCCTTTGCCGTCAGAGGAGCCAGTGAGAGCAGTAATGCTCTTTTGGTGTCCCTGGAGGATCTTGACGGGTTCGTTCTTGCCCTCATTCAAATAAATAAGCTCTCCCTCCAAGTTTACGCTAATAATCAAACCGTCGGTTCGGCCATGGGGAATGACGACACCCATCTGCTGATCTCGAATGCTAAGTCCGTCTCCAAACTTCCAGGTCTGAATGACGCTGCCTGAATCAACCTCCCAAAGTTTTATCGTTTGGTCAGCGCTTGCCGTGGCAAACTTCTTGCCATCCTCAGACCAGGAAACAGCAAATATGCTCCCAGTATGTTCTCCTTGGCCAATTTGCTTGATAGGCTCCCCAGTCTTTCCGTCGTACAACTGTATTCGCTTATCGGCGCCTACAGTCGCCAGAGCAGCTCCATCGGGAGAGTATGAGGCTCCGAAAACAAAGCCCTTGTGTAAGGCACTCTTCTCGTTGAACTTGTAGGGAGCGCCGTGATAAAACACCATGTTGCCATCGTCGCCAACAGTTGCAGCACGGAAGGGGCGCTGCGGCTTCATAGCTACTGCGTTGACGGTTTTCGAGTGACCAATGATTTCCCCCACCGAGTTTCCGCTGTCTGCCGTGATGCAGCGGCCGAACTGCTCCTTGCCGTCTCCGACAGCAATGACGCGCTGCGACTCACCATCCCAAGCAACATCGTTCAGTCGGCCTGAGATGATGTGATATTCGCCAATGGTTTTATCCGTGTTCTCAGGCTCCCACACCCGTAGCGTACCGCTGGCATCACCACTGGCGACTTTGAACCCGCTAGGTGAAAAACGAGCCACAGTTGTAGCGGCGGTGTGGCCGGTGTACTCCTTGGATTCGGCGGGGTTGTCGATGGAGCGGACAAAGATTGATTTTCCCGACTGAAAGGTGCTGCATTAGCATCATGGGCGCTTTAGATGTTGGTACGAGTATCATGCTGAGCTACCGACATCCCGCATGGAGTGGACAAGAGCTTACCGCGTAAGCTATCCGCTGGCCTTTCGAGTCGGCGGACAGTTGCGTTGGCTGTCCTCTGGTGGTAGACGGAGCCGCCGCGAGAATGCGGTTCAAAGTAATGGAGGGGCTGGCCATGGTTTTGCCACAATTCTGAAAGCTCACAAGACGGTGATGCTCCGAGATTGTGCCTGGTTGTGTGTCTTGACGGACTCGGACTCGGACTGAGGTGAGGTTTGGTCACTTGGTGGGGGAGAATGTGACAGCACTTGAGCCTACAGGAGGGGTCAGGCACTGGAGAAGGAACAGTGAAGCTTGTTCCTGGAGGGGCAGCCAATGACGTCGGCTTGTACATTCATGCATGTGTGTTCAAAGCATCAAATTGACCCTCTCTCTCATTTATTTGCCTGGTGCAGCTGGATTTGACCTTTTAATATTGTCCGGTTCGAATCCATCCGAAATGCTTTTGCCCACGGCATTGCTGACACGCCTAGGTACTTGTCTGCTGCCTTGCAAAAAGCTTACGCCTCGGTTTCATCGCCATTCTTTCGCCATAGTATCACCCGCGGCGCAAATGATGCCTGGGAGGCAGCAGTTGTCCTGTTCTTGGCGCGTGGACGAAGCTGTGAGGCAGCCTTGATACACCAGCGGTCTGTCCTTAGGTTGCCAAGCAACGTCCGACGGATACGGGAGCACGTTTGATGCGGAATGAAAGAAATCTTGATGGGTCAAATTACTACTGTTCCCGTCCTGCCGACGATGCGGCAATACGAGACCATCCAGACCCCGAGGTAGCACTGCTGTAAGAGCCCCCAGCCAAAGACTCAAACGTCCTCGCTCGTCAAAATATTGACCCGACAGACAGATTCTGGCCATAATACTCCGTACTCCTCATCGCCATATGATAGGAATGCAACGGCACGACGCCCGTCAACCCTTTCGTTTACCACCCAAGGTCAAGATGAACCAAAAAGGACCATGATCATCTCCGGGGCAACAATTACCGAGTACGCCAGCCGCAGAGTGCCCTGCTGCCTTTCCCTGAAATTTGACCTCGCATGGCAGCCAAGACATTCGTATTTCCCGTGTCTCTGAATGAGACGCCGTCCAATCACCCTGCCAGGTCGACCTGTCTCATGCCGCAATGGGGTGTCACAAAAGCAATTTGCACCACTTCCAGTCATGAGACTTTCCCCTCCTATCCTACATCGCAGCTTGTTGTCATATGAGAAGGTGGAAGTTCGTCGGCACAGAAACTCAAATCTCATTCCTACATACTACAATAACACCCGTTTGTCATGCATTTGCACCGCCCGTTCGTGGGTGTACCTCACCTGTAGCGATACATACCGACAGATTTGGGCCAAACTAGAGCGTTTTTGCAGCCTGTTTCCAGCACACTGAGACCCTCATACGGTTGACTATTTAGCAATGGCGGCGTTAAATTGGATAATGGGCAGCGTTGTCAAGCACTTGCGTACTCTTCCGTTTACAGTACGGTAAGAGACCCAGTATATCGGACAGCCATGTGTCCTAGACAAAGCATCACTGGCCCCAAAAAGGCATTCTTTCCCCTCTTGTTTCAATGGTCATCTGGGGCTGAGGAAACTGCAGACTGTACAAAGAGAGGGCTCTCACCCATATCGGTTGAAGTTATTAGTTCTACGCCACCGTCTTGGAATCAAACAAGTCATACGGTGTGGTTGGGAGTACTACTCCGTACGATATATTAAACCACGGACCTCCCCCGTGATGCTGCTTCCCCTTCTTCATCCTTTGTTGTGCCTGCGAAGTCGTCTCATTGGTGTCAGTACCTTGGTCTTTCGTTAAGCAAGCTCATCTGAAATTCCTAACCCTCTCACCATCACCCGCTCACCACATCCCCTGTTCTCAGCACCTAAAGCCATCTTCAACCGGTCCCCAAGATGAAGTTCCTCGTCTATGTCGCCATGGTCACCATCAGCAGTGTCACTGCCGGGAGCACCGCCGCCGCTCCCACCGTCTCCGTGCCCACGGACGGCGACAAGGACTGCCTTGCCAACTTCATCGTTAGGCAATGCCTTCAGAGCGAGAATGAAAAGGTACGCGCCGAGGAACTCAAGCTACTCCATGCCCAATTCTATAAACTAACCCGCCTCGACAGCTTGCAGCCTGCAGCTCAACCGACCACGAATGCCAATGCTACGCCTCCCAAGCCATCGCAACGTAAAGTCCCAGTCCTCCAAACTCACCCAATATATCATGGGCAGGCAATCTGACAATCATAGCTGCTACAACAACTGCCCCAACGACGCCCGCGCCCCGGGGGCCACCCAAGCCATGAACGGCGCCTGCATGGCGGCCTCTGCCTACGCCACCATCACCCCAAAGGCCACTTCCACCGCCGAGGCCGCGGCCACGACCGCCGCAGCCGCAGCCGCAGCCGACGACGATGCCTCTGCCTCTGCCTCTAGCCCGTCTGTCGTGCCCACAAGGTCTGTCACCTCGTCCGCTCCCAGCGCCAGCAAGACCAATGGTGCCGAGAGCCTCGCTGGCAATGCTGCCGGCATGCTTGCCGCCGTTGCTGGTGCCGTAGCTATTGTCTTGTAAAACATTGGCGGGAAGCGTGGGTTCTGGCGGTACGGAGCGCTGTGAATACAGATGAGCGTGTCCGGGATGCGTATGTAGCACTTACTTAATTTCTTAATTTAATTGACTTTGCCCATTCCTTACTTACACTTTGCATCAATGGTGCTTTAGCTATGGCCGGGACGTGTTCAAGTAGTCCAGGTTTCTTGGGTTGAAACACGGCTTGTAGAAGTATTCTGTGCTTATTTTGAACCATATGTCAGCCACATATGCTGTTTCATCATTCTAGCAACGCAGCCTTCTGAGCGCGCAATTCAGACATTGACATTTATAAGAGTGCTTTGCTAGATTGATGAGACAGGACATGGGATACTACCTAGGTACCAAGGTATTCTTGTCATATTACATCTCATGAGACGTCTGCTTAGCAGTTGTGGTCCTATCAAATATTGCATCTTTGATCAAATCACAATGGGCACAAATCATGCAAGGGTCGTTTGGGCTTGCTCAACTTCGAGCCAAGTCAACCGTGTTCCGCAGTCCTCTAAAGTACTGCCTAAACCAAACTTTATGATACAACGAGGCTGGTCCTCCCATGGTGTTCCGTGGTCCAAAATCATACAACCACTGTTAGCAACCGCGCCAAAGTTGCAAGTCGATCTCTCAGAAAAGAAGTCCCGCTCTCCCGTTGCGCCTAGTGAGAAACAAGAAAAGTAAACGATATCTCTACAGAAAAACTGCGGTATGAAGTTGACTGAAGCCCGACCCCGCCTTGTTGTCAGCCGTTTGGACGCCGAAAGGATTTCCTAATTTTTTGCTACTATATCACGCAGACCTTTGTCCCGTGAAAACAGAAGTCTCGTGTAACCGTGCTGCCACTTAAGCACGCGTTCATTGTTCTTTTTTAAAAGCAAGTGTAATCGAAGAGAGAGAAGAAGAAGAAGGGACTAAAATCGAGTAGAGGGATTAAAAAGATATCAGTAGCAGATTATGAGAAACCCCCATCATGTGCCACTGACTGTTGAAGCGTAGATAGGTTGAGGTTGTGATGTTGGACAAGGTATGGGAGTCAATTAGCAACCATCGCAGTAAATCGCAAAGGAAACATAAAAGACAACTCATGTTCTGCGCAATCTTCGTTCCTTGGCTCGATTCACAGGCCCAAGAAAGGTGACATGCTGCTTTTTGGCATCGTCTTTACGGAGCCTCACTGTTCCAGAAACGCCGTTGGAACCGCGGCGCAGAGACCTCGAGTCATGGTCGTCGTCAAGCGTAATTTCAGCAACGTCAGACACAGACTCGTTGTCGAGTTCATCACTACCACCGGACATGGAAGATCCGTCATCAGAGTCGTCATACTCTCCGTCGTCACTAACAAGAGACGGCGCATTATTGCTAACCAACGTATTGGGGCTGAGGTTGGCTTCCATATCCAAATCTTCATCGGACAAGACAGCATCGGAACCAGATTTGGACATCACATCCAGACTAGAACCAGGAGGGGATACGGGAGACATGGGCGGAGCACGGCTCTTGCTGCTCGTTGGGTGGGTGGGCGAGTCGGTTGGAGCAGCAGGCGTCTTTCCGCTCTGGGCTGGTACGCGCTTGACAAAAGGAGTTCGGGCAGGAGCAGCATCATTTGGTCCGTCAAAGGCAGTAATGGGAGTGCCCGTGTCGTCGGATTCCTCGTCGGGTGTCATATCTTCGATGGATATCTTGGTCTTGGCGTCTGCAACGAGATCACGAAGGTTGCCATTGAAGTTGCGGCTCTTCATCAGACGAGACAGATACGGGGTCTCGGTGGCAGGATTGAACTTGGTGGCGGCAGCCCTTGACTTCTTGGGAACTGGTGCGTTCACACCAGTGGTCCTTGAAGGAATTGCGCCAACACCAGGAAGCTTACCTTGGTGATACAGCTTGAGTGAGTCGGCAATTCGCGAGCGCAGTGCGACGTACGCCTGTTTCTCAGACATGTCTTGCCGGGCCAAGGGATGTACATGCGTGGAAAACGACGACGGGTTGTTGTTGACGTTATTGCTGGCTTGGGTCTTGTCATCTGCGCCAGCGCCCCCAGGACCACCATTCTCACCAACGTCGATAGGGTGTCCGCTCTGAACGGCAGCTTCCTCGTGACTCTTGAAATCTCGCTTGTGAGCAATCCGACAGTGGTTTATGAAGCCTTGAGTGCTGGAAAAGTTTTCACGATGGCAGTCGAGGCAAACCAGCTTAACAGTTTGGCCATCGGATCGCTTCAAGATACAAGGACCAGCCTTGTCCTTGGGTTGAGGATATCCGCTCGACAAAGCTTGAAGTTTCTGGCCTGCGTTGCCGCGAACTGGTCTACCCTTGGAAGTCGGCCCGGTTTCCGTGAAACTGTTCCTTGTCGTTCTGCCCTCGTTGAAGGGCACTCGTGCGCGCGCGAATTCTGGGGTGAACTGCCACTCTGGCTGTTCACCGTCGAAAGAGGGATCGGGGATGAGCCACTTCGCGTAATGCCGTGCGTATGGGCCTTCCACAACACCGAATGGCGGCGCCCATTGGGGGACTGGTTCTCCGAATCGAGTAATAGCTGCAGGGCCCTTACCACTGCTAATGTCGAGCATCTGGTCAGGGGTCGGACAATATTGAGGGTACGGAATCAGATGACATCTGCGCAATTGTTCCAGCGCGATTTGGCATTTGGCGAGCTCTTGATTAATAAGTCTTAACTCGTCATGCTTGAGGAGCACCTCGAGGCCCATCTGGTGCCTGATGATGTCGCGCGCGCGGTCCATGCCATCACCTCCGACTGAAGACAATGAGTCGTCGCATGACGACGCAGAAGTTGAGTCGAAGGTGTCAGAGTGCAGCTTGATTCGTTTACTCAGAGAAACATCTGATGATGCTTCACTCGAGTCGTCAAAGGCATCCCAGCTCCGCTTGGGAGCCGGGCTGCCGGGGCCGTTTTGCGACGACAGGTCTGATGCAGCGTCCAGGTGTTGGTGCGCGTCCAACGGGAGTTTTGACGTTTCCACAGGCTGTTCGCTTCCCCTAGAATCGGAGCTCCAGAAACGAAACATGAAGCAGCCTCCGTCAACAAGGGGTATGGGTTGCCGATGAGTCGCGACACAGAATATCACGACGTCTGCGGGATGATGTTTGCGACAAACAACAACGCACGGTCGGCAGAGTGGATCCCCAAAAAGATGCTGACGTAAACGGAAAAGTGGAGCGGATGATGTGGGCAAAGGGGTGCCTGATGAGGTGGCAAGTCGGGTCAGGTCGGACACCGGGGAGTTGGGTTTGTGTCAGAGCACAGAGTGTGGCGACCAAGCCCCAGAGGCAAGAGTCAGTCCGCAGGGAGAGGGCAGGTTTGCGAGTCCGACAGGCAGAGCGAACGTGCGATTTAGAGTGAGAGTGAGAATCGACGGGGAGAAAGTGGACTGTCCGGCAAGATGATCGAGAGCTAACGAAAGCCTCGAGTTGTGCCTCCTGAGGAGACAACTAGTCTGAAGAGGAACAGAGGGAAAGGAAAAGGAAAAAAAGAGGCGATGAGAGTGAAAGGATTAATGGGCTACAGCGCAGAGGAAGGAGTGAAAGAGGGAGCAAACGGGGGGAGGCGAGAGTGTTGGGTGGTGTTTGGATACTGGAAGCTGGGCGAACAGCTCGAGCTGCGTTTTGGGTGCGCACAATGTTGGACCAGCCAGCTGGGCCAGCCAGTGGGAGCAGCCAGTGGGAGCAGCCAGTGGGAGCAGTGGACAGACGATGGGACGTGAACATCAGACACGGGTGAACCAGATTGGAGGCAGCACGGCAGGGAGCACGAACTCGGTCGGTTCCCCCGTACAATGGGGCGCGCTGGGGCGCTTTGGCTTGGGTCAAAGATCAAATGGAAGAGTGCGCGGATGGATTTGTTTTGGTGCAGCCAGGCTGCCCCAGACGGGCGGCGGCGGCGGCGTCGAAACTGTCTGGACGACGCCGCCACACTTGAGCAGCACCTGGAACGAAGGACAGGTTGACGGGGTACTGGCTGCGCCATATAAAGTGCTGCCATTGCACAGTCCCTACTAACAGCCCTCCAAATGCACACATGTATCTAGGTACCTAATTGGCTGCCTTGCGCCGCGCGACCGTCCACGTACCCTGAGCTCAGTGCCAAGTACTCCGTACTACCCGCAGCCAGGACCCAGTTTGGCAGGGAGCGGACGACACGGATGGCGACCCGCCCAACTTTGAACGGAGTAAAGCGACATGGAGGACTGGACTAGGGGCTGCTTGACCGAGAAGGAACCAGCACTAGTACTTGAATACTCCGTAACTCAGACTCAGTTACAGCAGCGTCCGCATCTGCTTGGTGCGCTTGGTGGGCCACACTCGACCCAACTGGGGCAACACGGGCAACACAGCCCGCTGGGCAGCTCTGAGTATTGGGGCACTGGATGACCACTGGACCACCGCTGGTCGCCAATTCCACAGCAGGCACTCAGATCCACCACACTCGCTGCAAGGGGGTGTGGAGAGCTCCAGACACCCAGAGTCAGTGTGAGTGCCTGCTGAACCAGCTCGCCAATGCCTGTGAGGCCAACCCGCTGCTGTGGCAGCCTTGAAGGCCGGTCTGATTCGCATTCTCATGCCGCCTGCCGTTTCCAAACACACCAGACCAGACATACAAACCAGTAGAACCGCGCAAAGCACCGAGTATTCAGGACTCTGGGTCGACTACACCGAGTGGCCAGGTCTAAGTCCCAAGATGCCTCGTCCTCCTATCACGAAATCGTTGTGGTGTTATACGGAGTGCCGAAAGTACTTAGTATGCTAAGCTAAGAAGTAGCTGTGTTCACATGGTACCTGTTGACAACAACTTCCTGAGTGCATCGCCGCCCACTGAAGGGCTGGTCCTCTCAAGTACCTGGGTACTCCTCGCGTACCTCACCTAGGCACGTACTAGCATCTCTCCATTTGCACCACGTAAGCGCATTCGTAAGTATAGCGATGTGGTGTATTGAGGACCAGACTCAGCTCCCTAATCGAATGTGGCAGGGGGAACATTGAAACCAAAGATTGGGCTGCATAACACCAGTTGAAGTACGGAGTACGGGGTACGGGGTACTAGTACTCCGTAGCCTGTTCCTTATGTACGGGGCAACAGGTGTCTCACTTACCAGGTAGGTACTTCAATATTGCTAGTACGTAGGGTGGCTGGTTGTACGGTTCCTTTACACTGCAACGTATTCAATACAAAGCATGGACGAGTTGGTGAAAGCTATCATCAGTCAACTCAGTCTCTTGTGGTTCAAGCACCATGCGCCATGTACATTGTACAGGGGAGTACGGAGCACTATCCAAGACGAAATTCGAGGTTCGATCATGAGCCAGGTCAGGTGCCTAGGTACGTACTTTTTTGTGCATTCTTCTTGCCAAACACCCGCCTGCGCGGAAAGTATTCGGACATGTTGAGAGTCTATACCGGGACAAGTGCGCCACGTATTGATCAGGGATCTAGCCTCGACAAAGGTCCGACAAGTTGCTGTCTGACACAAACATCTCCCGAGAAACACGAAATGCGTTCAGCCAGTCTGAGGAGCTGTCCCGCGCCGACATCTTCCTATTCTTAACCACAGCCTGTCAGGGAGTGAGGCTTATCAGGAAACAAAATCTTGACACCACATGTGGACCAATCGACATTGCATGGAATCGATATTTAGGCCACGGATTCGATGTCGAGGTTCCCCGGCTGAGTGGCGTCATTGTGAAATCTCATGCAGCCACTTGGACTAGCACTGCTGCTGGTACGTACGTAGCACATTCCTGGCGCGACGTTCCCAAGGCAGCAAGGGACTCCCCAAGTTTCAGGCCGCTTCGATGTCTTGTATCAGTTGCAGGCAATGTTCATGCGTATTGTTACCAGCCTCAGAAGGGCGGCCCAGTTCCTGAGTGAGTCACGGTGGTTATACGGAGCATTTCACGCAGAATTTGCCAAGCTGACGAACAAGTAGTACGTACGCAGCGTGGCCGTGGAAGACGTCACCGTCGTCCCACTTGACTCCAACATGGCCCGTATCGGAACAGGTTTCGTGATTACATCATGACAAACCGGTACAAGCTCAAACATGCTCAGGGCCCGGCAGGATGAAGTTGGAAGTTGGAGTCTTCAACGTATTAGCCGAGCGAAGCTACAAAGAGCTGTGTTCTACACAGGAGACGTAGCATACTCCAAGGCATCGCGACTGCGGCTTAGAAAGCCTTTCCAAGAGTTTTCTTGACGCGGGTGGCATGAACCTTGCTTGGAGGAGGGAGGGACGCCGAATCAGCCTCTTCTGGCGGCGCAAGGGTTTGGCGTGATGCACTTCACAGTTGACATGTGACTGGACTATTTCAGATGCTAGCATCTCCACACGTTGTCGCAGTATCTAGAGCTGCAGATCTGCATTGAAGCCATGTCTAGCACAAGGCTTTGGAGGTGCGAATCATTCTGCTCATTCACATGCAAATAATTTCGTCGCCATCGCCAGGTATATACTGTGAGAGTCAGTGAGACATGACACTGGGCTTTTTGAGTGATACCTGTGGTAAATATACAGGTGGTACCTAGTAGGCAGCAGGCGAGCGAGAAATAAAAGAGAAATATGAGAGAGAGAGAGAGAGAGATCACGTCAACAATTCTGTAGGCGTATTCTTTATCCCGGCGGCTGTCAGGTACTCCGGTACCTTGTGCTTGACTGCTCCAGGTGCCACTCCTCGTCGCTTTTCACCATCTAATAAATGCTCTTCATCAGCTAAGCACACTTGGAGTACTCCGTACTGATGTATCTCGCAAGCTTCCGCCCCACATTTATTCAATGCAACAGCCCAAGGTCAGCCAAGTTCAAAAAAGTTCATTTCACAAAACACAAGTGCCCATTCCGATTCAAGCAAATATGTCGCCCACGCCCTCAGAAGAGACTTCTGCCGCCTCTAAAAAACGCAAGGAACCGTCTTCTACAACCCAAGCAGCTAAACGCGCTCGATCGCACCCTTCCCCTTCCGGCAATGCGTTAAAGCCAGCCCTTATAGGGCCTCACGAAGCCATCATTGCCCAGCTCCAACCAAAATACAACGTCCTCGCCGCCTCTGTAATATCCTCAACACAGATCCGGAAGCGTGTCACGCAAGCTATTTCGCATCTTGGCTCTACATCAGACCTACCGTGTGTGGTGTTGCTGCATGCGCGAACGGCAGAAGTGTGCAAGATGATTACCATTGTGGAGCAGTGCAAGAGGCTGCTGAGGGAGGAGGGGAAGACATGCTTTCAATATAATGAAATGTTTGAACTTCCAGAGGCAAAGAGGAAGGATTTGATTGAGGAGACGGTTCTGGAAAGGAATCGTGAAGACGAGGACGAGGACGAGGACGATTTTGAGACGATGGAGAGTCGGTTTGAAAGGGCGGTGATACCAGAACCATCGAAGCGCGTGACCATGTCCCTGAGGGTGTTCTTGAGTAAAAAAGAGGTAGTAGACCTGAAGGCCAGAAAGGGGGTTACTGTTCAGTCCCATGAGCCTGCATGATATTTGTCCTGCTGCAACGGCTCATGGTGATTTGAGGAGGCGGCTGGATTGGTCTCTATATGGAACGGCGTTATGGTGGCCTGGAGTGCTGCTTACGGCTTGGAGATATGCAAGATACCCAATTGGTTTGAGTGAGTTGACGCTAAATTCGAAATGGCATTTTTTACTGCAACGCCAAACATTTATACTACGTAAGTGAAAGACAACGCTGGATATCCAAGGCACGACCTCTCCACCCTTCAACCGTCGCCCATGTTCCTCTCCTCTTGTATCCCCTTTGCAGAGTGTCTTCATTCTTCATTACACATGTAAAATCTCCACCCCGATCCCACCACGACCCAGTTCTCGATGCGCACTCAGCCCATCGCGCCTAGTTGTGCTTCTGCTTGTTCGAGTGATCCGTGATACGCAGCACAAAGTTCACCACGACGGCCAACAACAAAATAATGGCCAGGAAAGTCGGGCCAAATCGGTCATCGAACCCGGCCTGACCCCTCATTCGTATTGACTTTGCTCTCCAATGGTACGTCACCAACGCATACAGCATGGTCAGCATGGCCACGCCGGTGAAGAGGAAGGCCGAAATGAAGGCCACGCGATCACCAAAGTTGAGCATTCCAATGGCCAAGGCGCCCAGGATGACGGTGAAGTTGAGCCATGACAGGAACGTTCGCTCGTTGGCGAAGAAGACTTTCGGTTCGACTCGGGTGGGCAGGGCGATGCGCTTGCCTGGTGCTGTTAGCATTGGCGGCGAGAACCACGGCCGCAGTAAGATTTGGCGTACCTTGGGAGGTCTGGAGAAGGGGTTGGGAAGACATGTCGGCGACGGTTTGTTGAGAGCAATTGAGCGGATTGCAGCGCTGTGGTAGTAGGTCGCTGCTGCTACTGGTTCACCTGAAGCTGCGGCTCGGTCGAGATACTTGTCGCTTGGCTGACGCAGCGAGCCTGAATTGCCGAGCACCTTGCAGACTTTGTCAATTCTTCGGGGGAGGAAACTCGGTCCAGGGACAGAATCGATTGAGCAAGATGCGAAATTGGACGCGTTGGTTGAAAAAAACTACTTCTCGCAGAGGGCTCTGGTGCGATTATCTGCTCCGGTTCTCATACTACTTTGGTTCAACCCCACCCGTGACAACTGTTTTGGGGGAGCTCTTGTGCACGTGGGTAGGCTGGTTGGTTCGAAGTCACGTGTTGTTGCCCCGCGAAGCAAGGAGACTCCTGATGGGCAAAAGCGGGAAACCTGTCAGGGACAAGGGATATTGAAGTCAACGTTTGGCTGCGAGTTAAAAAATAGTTTGGGAAACCAAGGGTAGTTGGGTAGGTTGATGAGGGTACAGGTGGTTCATTATTATCTAGGCATAGTTTTTTTTTTAAAAAAAAAATTTGCAGTCGCTGTTTAGTTGAGATCTCTCTTGGCAATTCAATCTCCCAAAATACGGGCTATTTGGTTGGTCCAGATTTATTGGTTATCGCGCGGCTCTGGGTCCCCTTCCTACGGAGTACATCCTCTGATGTACATACACCACCAACCTATTGTTTATGTTTACGCTTCAACCTCGCTCCACCTGCATCGCTCCCTGATCAAACAACGCCACGAGCCATCAAGATGTCTACTCCTGTATGTGAGAACATTTGAGCCCTGATCTTGCATCTTTCTCCTTTTGACATATTACTGACCATCGGCTTCAGCCTATTCCTTTCAACCGTCTCAAGCAGATTGCTACCGATGTACGAACTTCTCCTCGATGGGCGAAACGGCCTGTTTCCTACCGCCCATCTTTATACAATTGCATATAGATTGCTGGTTCTGACACATCCATATCAGGTCTGCAACAATGCGATCGGTAGCGCCGAGTTCTACGACCACGCAAAGACTGAGCAATGGAACTCTACCATCATCGTACGCTGCCCCGGGCCCAACCCACTCGCAGACACATCACCAAGAAAAACAAACGATTAACACGCATCTAGAACTCTATGCTCAAGGCCGTCATCTCCGAGTCAACACCCCAAGGAGCTTCCGCGCCCTCATTCAAGTTCGCCTGCAACAGCACCATCGTGCAGCACCTCGTGCCCACATCCTCACTGAACAAGGCCCGCGGCGGCACCGAGACCAAAGAAGAGAAGCCTCACATCTCGACGAGCTCCGAGGCTACTGCCACCGATGGCAAGCCCCACGTCGGCCGACGCGGCATGCACAGCGCTACCGGTGCGTACTGGGATGAGAAGAAGGACGGCATGTGGACCTTCAAGTATGACGGTGGTGAGGGCAAGGGCATGGACGTGGTCATTATGCTCATCTGGATTGGCATCTAGATGTCTACAAACTTGCATGGAAGATGATACGCTTGGAATCAAGCCCCGTGGGAACTGAAGAGGAGCTGGGCGGGCACCCTGCACTTTAATGGCGTTTCGGGAGCAAAGATATGTAGTATTTGAGACTGTCTCTCCATTTATGCCCCGTCGCTGGTGATGTTTGCGAAATGTTGGATTGGGTAATAATACTGTCTGTAGTTGAGCATTAATGGAATACGAATATGTATGAACTATATGCCCTTCGGAAGTTCCTCTTTTGCTGTGTTTTCCTCTGCCATGTGCTCATTTAGCTTACTTATCGGTTGTTCGCGGAGCCATGAACTGACCCTTGACAGTGAAGATTTGGCAAAGTAATTACTGAATGTGTATCTCTTTATCTGACCGTCTCGTGCTACTTTTTTTTTTGCCGATATTAGTGTTGAGCGACGACGACAGCAATGCGCAACATCAGTAGCCATCACGCTCTAGGGTAGCATCTGTGGATAAGAAGAAATTTGACAACCATATTGACATCGTAAAGTGTTCTCGACAGAATTGCCACGACAATTGATAATTTTTCGAGATATGGTGCTTTTTTGGGGAGCAGAAGGCATGTTTTCAATTCTTTCATCAGGTCCTTAGTGATCTCATTGCATGGTCAATGGCATACATTCCCTTTGCGACTGCAACCAGGAGCGGACTGACTAAGTGTTGATTGTCAGGTTGTTTCCCGTACCGCGAGTAGTACTTCATGCAAATATACTTCTTGTAGCTTTCAACTATCAATATCATCACTGCAGAAACTATTGATGTTCTTAATGTCCCCGGGCGTTGATCAGGCTGCATCTATTAGCCCCTTCTTAGCATCCTTATAAACCGACTCGTGGTAAATTATCCGAGGAGCTATGTCCATGCCACTACGACTCTACTTGACCATGCGTGTCAATTGCTGGTTGTTTGTCATAAAAGGAATCAATTGAGTCGACGTCAGTCTCGTATTTCGCAAGCTGGAGGGAGTGAATTTGGGAAACGTGCCATTGCAACATTACTTGGAAGAGACCCGGCCCAAAAGCCCAGCAGTCGGCGGCTAATAACACAGCCACGGTTCGTCGAGTGCCGACTTTTTCTAGAACCAAGGCTTGCATGGGCCGACCACAGCTACAACATGTCGAGTTGTAGGTGGCGTGCAATCAATAGACCCTGCGGGTGGCATCTCCCAGCAGATCGTCACAAATTCCTTCCAACAGATGATGTGGCATGATGTCTCCTCACCGACTTAACGAGAGAGCAGGTGAACGGACAGGGATTGGTTGGCAAATTTGGTTGGCGCTTGCGAAGCTCACGGATACACGAAGGCTTGCATACGGGATCTGGAAGCCAATCCGCGGCTGCAGCTAATGTATCAAGGTGGTATGTAGTAGTAGTGTTGGGTGATCTCTTTTGGCATCTGTAAGCAGAAAATGCCATGTTGACATGGAGTCAGTCAATGCAGTCTGTTGCATGTGGGCAGTGAATATGGAGGGAAGAGCTCATTCGATATTTCGGGCTGGTCGTTCTTGCCCTTGGCCAAGGCAGCCTGGACCCTTCCTTCCCCCCATGGCCCATTCCGCTGACAACATTGTCGCCTCCTCACAAGACCCTTATTCTTTGCATCAAGAACGATTTTCTTTGCCAGCACCCTTGTTTTCGCAACTGACTTTGCCACTAGGGTCTTTTCGACAGTCTCCGCAAGGGCCCTACGACAGGTGCTGTCATTGTCGCAGCTCACTGATAATGCTCCGCAATGATGCTCCTCTGCAGACGTAGGGGCCCTTCTGGCCCACGTCAGGGCCGTGGCCCCAGCAGCTTGTGGACGGCTTGTGGAGCATCATGGGGACAACGACTCCGTTGGCCTCCATCGGAGCCGCCTCGTTGGCTGACGAGGCCTTCAACAAACATCAGTTGCGGGAATACACACGGAGAAGGGCGCCTGAATTCAACGCTCACCTTTCTTTGCGTCGCCAAGTCCGCCTTTGGCGGCAAGATTTGCGTCCCTTCGTTGCTCTAGATGATCGAGCCGGCCCATGCAACCATACATGCAGGCCGTTGAGCTGCAACTCTCTGCGGACATGGATCCATGGTACTCTTAGTGTCGGTTGAATCGGATTTTGACGCCACAGAGTCGGACCACCGAACCAATTCGAGTTGCGTTGCGAGTGTTGGCATCAAGCACGCAACGCCGCACACCACTACGAACCCCTCCGGTACACCGCATCGCTCGCTGCATAGAAAAACATGGCAAAATGGTAAAGCAGTACCATCCTTGATGTCGGCTTGCCCTTGCAAGGGAACCCGCGTGTTGCCACTTTCTTTTTGCTGCAGAGTCGACAGTTCTCTGCATGCCTTTATCGTACGGATTATTCATCCGGGAAAGCCCTCTGGTCCCGTGCCTGCCGATCAAACAGCCACACACGCAATACTCGCCACATCCCTCTTCAGAGCCTCAATATATTTCTAACGTCGGGCGATGCAAATTTGGGAATCAGCCAAACTATCGTGGTAGTATTCTGTCGTGGGGCATGGGAGGCGAACGACTCCGCAGTGACGTGAAGTGCGTTCATCTGGGGAAGGGAAAAGTCAATTAATTAATCATTTCCACAGGCTGTACTCCGTACCCTGAGGGAGAGAGCTCTGGGGGCAAGATGGAAAGGCAATGGCTGAACTCGCTCTATTGTAGCCACAGAACACCACGAGTAAGACAGTTCGAAGACCCCACAAGTTCCATTGTTCCAGCACGCCCGGACAGCAAGACGCAACCAATTATAGAAGTGCGATCATGCGAACGGCTACTGCTCTTCACCCTCTCGCATGCTGATCCATTTTTTGGTCGAAGAGCCGTTGACGGCTGTCTAGGCGTGCGCCTGAAGAGTCTTCGTGAGGGAATCCTCGTCTGGTTCCTGTTCAAGAATTGAAAGTCGGGGGGCTTCGCGGCCTCGAATGATCAGTTGGCTGAGGCACCTCTGTACACACCGCGTACTCGGGAGGCTTGAGCCTCTTCTTTCTCTGAGCTCCGCGTTATGGGCAGCTCAAAATAGACGCCTCGGTTGCGCTTGCACAAGCTCACTACTAGTAGTATATCGCAACTGAACGACGACGCCGGGAGCAAAAGTGGCACATGGCCATGGGCTTTCGCCGAGTTGTTTGGGTGGCTCGGCCAGGCCAGGGGAAAATTTCCTAGGAGTTCCCACGATGTGGACGATGTGGGCACCGCGGCTCCATAATGCCAGACTCAAGCACACCACCCATCGCCGAGACCGACCGACCGCCTGTGTCCTTGATTACACCCCCGGTCCAAAAGCGTTGAAATAAAGTCCTCATGGCCCTCCTTGCAGCTGGAGTAGTGTTGATGTCTTCCATGTCCATGCCTCTACTGCGATATTGACTGATCAACCTCCAAACAACTGCTATCGTGGCTACCGAATTACCAATTATACTTTCACCCTCTCGGCAGCCGAAACTTTCTTGTCAGGGGACACTCAACGCCCTCCTTTGCCTCGCCCGTTAGACTGGTCACGCCACCAACGGTCGTACCGCTCGTAGTCGAAGCGAAAACGAGATACGAACCGCAACGGCCTATGCTGCGCCGGTTGTGTCATTGAAGTATCCAAGTCGAACTTTGCATATCGAAGTACCTGACACAACGACATTGCCGCTCGCAATGGTTCAACTCCTCGTTGACCCCGCCGTTTCGTCCAACGGCGGCGGCGCCTCCGCCCATGAACAAACAGATGGAGTCGCAGGTCCCAGTGCTGTGAACGACGAAGCCGGAACCATGTCACGGGAAGAACATGCTCAGCGAATGAAGGAAACAAGCATGAAGCGCAGCATGATGAGAGCACCGCGGAGAGGATGGTCCCTGACCGACTACCAAGGTGACCAGCACCAGTCCATGCCTCATTACCACCCTCACTACATCTCCCACGTCAATCGCCACGCACCCATTCCCGAAAATGCAGTTTTGCAGTCATCCATTGTCCGGCCTGATTCACCTGCGTCTTCGACCTTCTCTTCAGCATCTTCAACCGTTGGCCCCATGGTTCAACTACCCCGTCGACCGAAAATGCCCCCTCCGCGCCGGTCACAGTCCGTGACAGATAAGGAACCAGAACCCAGTCATCAGCCTCGGCTATCAGCAAATATGAATCTGCTCGATCTCCCCTCTGAACTGCACTATGCTCTGTTCGACTTCTTGGACCCTATCGACGGCGCCTGCCTGGGACTTGCCCATTCACGACTATACTCTTTCCACCTTCGCAAGAACGGCAGGGTTCCCCTCTCAAGCCGGTACTCTGGACCAAACGACATGGAATGGGCCTGGCGAGGTGCTGGCCCCCTTGTTCGCAGAGAAACCAGCGACCCGGATCCTTCGCCCCAAGCGCTCGAGAGCCTCCGTGTCAAGGGCCAAGTGTACTGCCGAAAATGCGGCATCTCCCGGTGCGAACTCCACCGCCATCTCAAGGACTGGATGGGCAGTGAGTACGAGTATTGCGAAATTCGAAAGATGTACGGCCGGCCGGCGGACGAGGCTGCCAAGGCGTACTGCTACATGAGCTCGCCCAAGAATCCACATCGGTGCGGTCGTCACGGAGCAAGGAGGCTGTAAATTTTCTTGTTATATTGTTCATGTTGAGCTGCTATTTTCAGGAACGAATTGGGCCGGCATATACGAGGGATCTGGCTGGTGCGATTTCGGGAGCGGAGCGAGTTATTGAATAGCGATGTTGTGAGCGTGTTTGCATCGTCAACGGCGGCAGCGTATTGTTTCAACTAGGATATCCGGCAAAGCGAATGGTGAAGACGGCGGTAGTACGTGACGGGAGGGAGACATGTGCAAATAATATTCATACTCTGATAATACACAAGAGACAAGTATACACGGTTACACGTACCATGAAAGGGCAAAGTGAACAACTCATAGTGAGGATGTAGCGGCAAGGAATAGGGGGCTAATGTAGGAGTGGAATAGCTGCATCCTCAGCAAAGCCGAGAGACAAGCAGACAACGTGGCAGATACGGGCCTAAATAATGGAAACATGCATGCTGCTTTCTACAATATGTTCCACCTCCCTTGGGCTACCTCGGCCCGGTCCGCCATGTGCGATTGAATGCTGTTTCAAACTGCTGCGGGAGAAGTCGCGCTTCGGGTGGGTTAGGGTTCACGTTGGACGGGGCTCCTTCACCAGTCGTGAATTATCACATGAGTTTCCTCTTGTTTGCGTGTCCACTTGCATAATGCACATCATGTAACCATTATTAAGACCATCCTGCCTAATTTCCTTTTGTAATATGGTAAATAATGCACGCACCCCAACGCCAACCAGAACTTAGTTCCGGGTATGCTATTATATACTTTCTTTGCCCCAAACCTAGAAACACAAAGAGAATGGAAAATGAAGCAACCCAGCGCCAGGTACAGCATCGAGGAATACTTCTTGTTCTCACTCTAGTGAGGAGTAACTGGTTCTATCCAGTCCAGCGCACAGTTCCCCATGGCATCAACCCAGTCGGCAATACCCTTGACGAACCAACCGCTCGTCACTACCTCCCCATCTTTCCTTTCTTCTGCTTCTTGTATAGGCCCTCCTAGAGTAAAAGTTGGAGACGTAAAGCACACGCCGTTGTCGTATTTCCACTGAAAACACCTCCTATTCAACTTGAACAAGGTGTTCCGCTGGGCCTTCTCCTCGTACTTGGCGCGGACAAACTTGCCTCGTGACGTCTCGGTCAGAAGTGACGAGAAGTCAGAGTCAGCAATATCTAGGCCCTCAGCTTCGCAGACTTTGGCGCAAGCTGCTGCTGATCTGTGGGCGTACTTTTCGACAATGTTTTTCTCCGATTCTGGTTTTTGCTGGCTTTTAATCCAATCGGAGACTCGGTCTTGGTCATCGGGACCAATGTAGCAGGTACCACTGGAGAGATTGTCCCAGTTTTTGCGGTAATAGGCCATGTATGGTTCAAAAAATTGGTGATAGAGATGTCTGTATTGGATGAGGCTCTGATGAAGTGATTAGCTTCCGCGGAATGCCACTCCGTGTTAGATGCAACATACAGAGTCGTTTCTTGACTTTTCATATTCCCACAAATCGCTGATCTTCTGGGAAGTCATCGTTGCCATAGTAAAAACGGGCTGGCACCAATGGTTATGACCGAACGGCGCAGTGGTTGGATTCTCTCCATTGAACATTGGGTGCGCTTGTTTGACCCCAACGTTGGCCACTTCCAGGGCCTTTGCAAGGGCCAAGCCGCCATATTGAATTTCGTGAGCCAACTTGTCGTACGTTTCGGCTACGTCTGGAAATTTCTTCATCCAACGGCGAATTAAGCGCCCAGAGAGAACGAACCCACTACTGCCGTGCGCAAAGGCATAACCGTCGAGCATGACGGCACTTCCCACAAACGGGTCCCGATTTCGACGTGCCTTTTTGCGCAGCCAGTGAATCAGGTTGGGCCAGATGACATAGGTGTCATCCTCGATGAAGACATACCAATCGCGCCCGGGTCGAAGTTCCCACGCTCGAGCAACACTGTTGATGGTCATGTACTTCTCCAGCTCTGCCGCCATAATGGGGTCGTCCTGACACTGTTCCTGAGGACCAGAGCAGCCTATTTGGTCTTTATAGAAGCGAAATTCTTTATGTTGCATCTTGACATAGTTTTCGACGCGGTCAAGCACATCATGAGCCCGATGACCAGCAATGTCTTGTTCCTGCACAACACGCATCAGACATCAATACGCGCCCGCATGTAGTGTGCATTCATCCAACAGCCAGATAGGCAAAAGTATACTCACCATGTCTGAAAAGACCAAAATATCGGGTAGGCATTGTAAATGAGTCAAAAAGTGCAGAGGAAGCCTTGAATAGGCATTCCCGGCCCTCGTTTTCAAAGACACGACAATTCCCTCAGCGCTGGGAAAGTCTCGACATGGCGAATTGATAGTTGATTGAGGATGGCCAGCCTTGGCGACTAGCAAAGAATGCATTGGCCAGTATCGGGTGTAAAAATTGGCTTCGCTGACGCCGTATAACTGTACCAATGGGCAAATTAATAGGATGACGAGGCATAGAGACAGAGCTGTCATGCGACTGCGCAACCTCGTCGGGTTAGATGCCCAGAGCCCGAGACGGCGCAAGCCTGAACTCGCAGCCATCCTGAAGAGCCAGAAGAAAAGTTTCAAACTATCATGGATAGAAAACGGGCGGCATAGGCAGCAACACAGGACTGATCAAATCTCGGGTCGAGGTAAGCCCAACAAGCGGCGTTCGATTGGAGCTATGCCAACGGTACAGATCCCTCAAACGCCGCACGGGGTGTCAGCCTCCGCGTCGAACTGCCGGCCTTTATGGGAGGCCGCGAAGAATACAGATGCCGAGCAAAGATGGCTTAACAAAGGCAACACCATGATGTGAGGGAGGAACAATAGGGGGTTCGGGGAAAGCGGATAGGAGCAGAGGCTGAGCAAAAAACCTCAGAAACCACCACACTGTGGTCAACCGATGTGGGGAGCACTTGCCTACAGTAGGAGTTGAATCTCGCGTGTTTTTCCCTTGTAGAATGTACGAGTTATCATATACTCTGTACCTGAAAACTGGTACTTGGGTCCTCATTGTGCTAATATGGAGTGTGTTGCTGTTTAAAAGTACTCCCACTGTATGTCCGAGTTCAAAGTGGCTGCAACGGCGCCACATACATCATCATAGTGGCGTCCGCACCACTAACCGGACGCCATCCCCGGTTCCTCGGCATCTTGGTTCCTGGCACTTTGTTTTCTTCTCTTTGTTCACCTATTGCGAAGCACTTTTTTCTCAATGGGCAACTGGGTGATGGAGATGGAGATTAGACTTTGTTTGGCCAACCGGTCAAATTTCCACATGGCTGGCCAGCAATTCTGAAGACGACAACTCAGGAACTTTATACCCATGTTTTGGTACGTGGGGGCACTTACGTTACTTAAGTACATACTTAGGTACTCAGTAGGTACTTAGACAACCAATCACTAAGTCAACAGGCTCTAGTTGACTTACACACTGGATCAATAGCAACTGGAACTGGCTTAAAGATGTTAGTCGCTCACATTAACCAGCTTGTCACACCGTTTCACCATCTATGTACATTCTTTAGTCCTTTTCATTACCATGGAGAACTGCCTCCTTCGCCCACTGAATACCAATCTTCGTACCTGGCCTCTTCCCTCCAATTAACCTGGCAGCATATTCATTACTCTCAATTGGTTGCTGTGGTGGTCCCTGTGGTTTGGTTTTTGGTAGGTCCTTCCCAAATACCCACACGTTATCCAACGTCGTTGTCTCGTTATTCACCATCACCTCCCGTGAGTACAAACTCTGAGCATCCGCGAAGCCTATACCATCCCCGTTTGCAAGGGTCTTGGCACCAAAGCTATAAGTCTGGCGTGTGCTTCCAAAACCACTGGATCCGCCATCTTTCTTCTTAAAAAAGAAGGCTCTGCCCTTTTTGGTCGTCTGAATTACGGACCCGGATACTCGGCCGGTGATCCGGGCAAGAAAAGGCTCTAAACCATTGGAGAAGACTGTGTTGCCTGTGACGGCAAGTTGCATTGTTTGAGTGAGGTTGGTGTCCAAGGTGTAGGTATAGTTGTCATCGGGTGCTGTTTGGACAAGGCGTACTTGCATTGGGTAAGAATAGCCAGCGTAGTAGTACGAGGCCGAGTCTTTCGTTGCTCTGTCCTCTCCCTCGTACGATGCATTAACTTGTTGAACATTGCCGGCTTCTAGCATATAGCCCGTGTTTTGCATGGCGAAGCGCTGAGACCAGGCGGACTCGAATGTTTTGCCGCCGGTATGCTTAATCTTGGACTTGATTTGCAGGGTGCGAGAAATCGTTTGATCATACCGAAGAGACTTATTCTGGACGGCCAATTCATGTGGATTGTAGTTGGGCTTGCTTATAATCACTTTTGGCGGGCATCCTGAGGTGATAGCATCCCTTTTGTCGAGCCAGAGAAAGATTTTGCCAGAAAGTAGCCAGTATCTGTTTACCACAGCGTCATCTGCACCAACCACCTCCAAGCCAAACGTATGGTCTTTTCCATTGCACAAAACACCAAGCCAAGGCGTAATGTCGATTTCTTGCTCTCTTAGGTCGAAAGCCTGCGGCCCAACCACGGGTCTGTGTAAAGGAGGTGAGACTCCCCCTGTAAAGACGACCGGGTACGGCCACGACAAGCCCGCAAGTTGGCCATCAATTCGCAGTCGAACCTCGCGGAACGAACTTTTGCCGAGCAGCGTCATTCCTTCCCAATTGTTGATCGCATCCTCCGGAACATTTGTCCACCAAAACTCCTCATCAGATTGGCCAGTGGCCGCAATCGACAAGACAGCACGCTTTATGTTTCGGGGCAATGTGATTGACTTTTCTGCCTTTTCATCAGGGTAAGTGAATGCGCTTCCTTTTCCAGAAGCTCCGTTCCCAGCTGAAAAAGGCACAATTTCATCAGCTGGCGGCGCAGCAGGCCCAGTCAAGTTTTGGTCTTGTATAAACGTGGCTGTAAGCGTGGTGTTGAAAGAGCCCGTATAGTTGCTATTAATAAGATTCCCGAGATCAAATATGAGCTTCTGAGGACGTTTCAATATTGAGAGGTATGTCGTCATGTCTTTCCAATACGTCCATGAGATACCCGGGTGAGCATTGGGCTCTGCGGTCGAAGTTCGCCAGACTTCCGTATCGCCCAGCCACATGATGGCCAAACGATCAAATTGATGTCCCTCTGACACGACGGTAAAGTTCATAATGACCCTATTAAAGGGACATTTTGTCTCGTCAGGCGGCGTATAGTCGGCTGGACATAGTAGGGACAAAGTCAGCCGGTATTCATTTGGTGTGAAGGCAGACCCCAATTTATCAGAATACCAAGACTGGACTGACCACGGGCGTCTTCTACTTACAAACAAATGGCTGCCCATAACTATTCCCAAAAACGTGATCCATCAACTGGATCTTGCACGCCTTGGGTGGCACACTTCCAGGATAGCTATCCAGAATTTCATTACCATCAACAATACCATCAGAAGACAAGACGGGATTCGTGACTTCAAAACACTGCAATGGCTCATCAGGATATCCAGCGGCCGCTCTCGAATCCAGCAACCCCTTCTGGTTCGGCGCGTCCATGACGTCGCGGCCACCTCTAAGTGTCGCGGACGCCATCGCCAAAGCTTGCACCACCAGGGGCGCGAGCCACAACAGGTGCCTCATGGTTCCCTGTGTGTAATGTCGTGACGTCTGTTAGTTCCTCGCTTTGTCGCCCGCCCCTTGGTCCAGCTTAAACACTTGGTAGATTAAGCAGACGAACCTTGCACAAAGAGGCGAGTGCGGGAGATGGTAGCTTAAATTGGCTAGAAGTTGCATGTGGGAGGAGAGGGGGCAACCAATCTACCTATTTACCTAGGTAGTTGCTCGAGCAAGTGCTCGAGCACCTTACTCCGTATGCGAGCATTTAAAACGGGAAGGTGAGACCTGCAGGACCGTAACGAACAACATACCATACTCCATACGGAGTACCTAGGTAAGTAATTGCCTTTCAAATGACTACTTACTAAGTACCTTAAGTAGTCATTTAGGTATGCAACTAGTTGACCCTTCCAATCAGAATTCCGTATGCAATCAGCGCGTCTTTCGTACACCTCTAACCAAGTTGGGCGCCCAGGGACTTGTGTAGGTGAAGTCGCAAGAGAAGGACGGTCTATTGATCGTCAAGGGTCCTGATTGCTCAGAGAACTGCAATCAGTGTTAAATTGGTCCATTTCCCGCTGCCCTTGTGCAGGGTAAATCACAGAGCTTCGGTTCAGCCCCAGCGGCGTGTGTGCCCGGGAATTAATACCCAGCTAGAACCCATATCTGACTGAATACCCGAGTCAACGTGTTTGAATTGATGAATTATTCTAATATTTCTTCTTTAAACGATAGCCAATCAAGTATATGTAGTCTACCATTTAGCATGCAGGCCATGGCATATGTTCCCAGCGCCATTCTTGAATGCATAGATAAGCTTGTTACATATTGCATATGTCAAGGAAAAAAATGCACAAATATGACGACCCAAACTCCGTCTCCGTTACACTGGATATTATGCTGTTACACAACGCTAAATGCAGAGCTCACTCCTTCAATCGCTGACAACTTTCCTCGTATCGATTTCGAATCACCATAGTATCGTAGTCTGTATTCCCCTACAGGGGCATCATTTTCAATTTCCCATTTGATGTCAACTTCGCTTAAGCCGAGTATCTTGCTCGTCCGTCGCCAATAGAAGCTGAGTCCCCAGTCCGAGTCATCTCGAACTTGTTGCCATGGCGAATTTGCTGATGGACGATACTCAACCGCAGCATATGTCTGTTCAAGGCGCAGATTGTTGCGAGGATTGGCTCCGACGAAGGACGCCGAGACTCTCTCGCCCCTTCTGTACCTAGAATTGGCAACATTATTTACTACGTCTCCAAAATCTTTGGACCATGGTGTCCTATCGAAGAGAACACCAATTATGAAGCTGATAGACCGTCCGCTATTGTCTGGCGGGTATTTGTTCTTTGCGCGGTGCTCACGACTTGAACTGTTGGATCGGAGATATTTTATCGACGCAACTGTGCGCTCTATGTACGCATCAAGTGTATGTGGCCCATAGAGTGTAGAGGCACCTTCGTAGCGTTGAATGCTATGCATGGTCAGCAGGGTTTACAGAAAGCGGCCTAAGGCGAAGTACTGACCTATATTCCTCTTGTGTCGAAATGTAATGAGTATAGCTGTTGCTTGGCGCTCCAAGGACCACCAAAGGATCTTGGCCGTCTAGTTCGTTTGGCAATGCCCGAATACTCTGTTTTGCTACAGCCTCCTTCCACCGTCGTCCGGCCATCGTTGTTGCTTCTCCCGGGCTGACGATTATAAAAAGTTGACCTACTCTGAATGTCTGGATATCAACCACGTTGGGGGTCCACGCGTATGGCTGACTGACCTCGCCGACGTCTAGAATGATGGACTTGGGGTGCTGGCAAGCGACCTGCTCTTTGCTAGGTGACTTGAGGAGCCAGGTAATAAGTCTCCAAATGAACCTCGCATTCGAAGCAGAGGAGGCGTGTTGCACAAGATCGTAATGACCAGGCTCGTCCCACGTTCCGGCTCCAAAGCCGTACCCAAGCGCTGCCGGGCATGTTTGCGCCTCTGATCCGTTGGGCAATGTAAAGTTATAAAAGGACATGTCGTGGAATCTGTGAATCGCTTTCACACCCGTTCCCTGAATATTCGGCGCCTGGTCATTCAGAGAATTGTAAATACTTATCGCGCCTTCGTGTTGTAGCCGAGCAATCTCGAAGCATGACGCAGCTCCGTAGTCGTTCCTTCCGAACTTTGGTCCTCTGGCACGACACCGGTTGCTCTTTCCATCACTACATGCGCTCGTTTTGAAATCGCACTGCTGGCCAGTTCCATCTTCGCACCAAGCACCCAAAATATTTGGGCTCGCATCACCCATGTTTGCCTGCGAGAAGCCTGCCACAAAACCATCCGCCTCCCGTCCATTCCCCTGTACCTGCTTCTCAAACAAATCCGCCGCGAGACCCTTATTATCCCCTGTAATAAGGGTGTTATTGGCTTGCATGGAGGTGCCATGTGTGGGAAACCAGGTGAGCACTCCGATATTTTTCTCGTCCGAAGCTCGCTGGAACTTGAGCAAGGTCATGTCCTTTTCAACGGACCCGTCGTCTTCCGAGCTGATGTTGTATTTGGCCCGTTCTTCTTCCGGATTAGCTAGATAGGCAAACAAACTGCGATTAATATTTGCATTCATAATCTTCGTTTTACCCACGCTCAAGTGTCCTGGCGCAAGACTCTCGTGTGCTCGTCGAATGGATAAAATGCACCCTTCAACAATTGCCCGGTAGCTCTGTTGGTCAAATCCCATACTCGGAATTTGAGGCAGGAGGTAGTTTAACCACGCCCCCGGCCCGGAGTGGGAGTGCGTTGCAGTAACAGCAACATTATCCTGGCCATACATAGAATACCGAGAGCCTAGTGCTTCTAACCCCCGAAGGATTCCATATCGAACAGCGGTGTCACCAGATTGGATATCCAGAACCAGATAGACGAAGCGGTCCTCCGGGTTATTCATATCCCCGACAATAAAAGCTCGCGAATATAGTCGTTGCCGCAGACCGCGTCCAATCTGAGCAAAATCTGCATAACCCATCATGTTGATTTCAACTACTGGTCCAGTAATATCAGCCTTGCCGACTCCAAGGAGATACTGGTCTTTGGGCCAGTCGCCATTTGGTAGGCTTTCTGACGCCCATTTATTCCCGGGCCTTGCCACGTTGTCAGATCCGCCATAGAGTGAAGCATACGCCGCAGATGTCGATAGCACTGCGGTTGCCGCGAGGCCGGATGCCCGAAACAGAGTAACACAGAAAGCACCCGCCACGACAAGTAAAACCATCAAATTTCGACCACAGAGCCGCTGTCGTCGTCGAGTGGATGGTGTCTCACGCGGCTCCTGTGGCGCTGGAGGGGGCCAATGACCGCCTAATTTCTCTGTACCATGATTGGGTGAGGCCATCATGAGCTAGGAAGCAGAGGGCTGACAGGGACTCGACGACGGTCGCGTACTGGAGAAAGTGCAAGGGAGGCAGAAATCAAGAAGATTCCAAAAAGCTCCGACACGAGCCTAGGTGTCGACTACCCAAGCTGCATGGCAGGTAGAAGTGGCGTGGGAGAAGATGAAGGAGAGGAAAAGTTCGAGAACGGAGGGAAGCCCGTTTCGTCTGGAGGTTGCGCCTGCTATTTCTAGCTAGGTATGTCGTGTGTCATGAGGCTTGTCATGGACGTGGTCGTCCATGTCGCACCTTTTAGCTCGTTTCGCTTCCGTTCCCGGCTGTACCGAGGCGTCGTCAGGCACAAGGCTAGACGTGTCGACCACGAAATGGCCCAAAACGACCCCAATGGGTTGGGCAACAGCCACTGACGGACGGGCTCCATGTCACCTTACGTGGCCCACCTGAGCGATGATACAAGACTCGAGTCTGGTGCTCCGGGTGTGTGGGCTCGCCTTATTGAGCTGGGTCCCTCCTCTAATCCCTGGAACTTGAGCATACGAGGCCGGCGATGCACCTTGAGGGGCTGTTGGATTCTAAATTCATGCAAAGAAACTCACGGCGATAGCCCGCTGTTGTTGCTGGCGTCGGTGCTGCTCCAAGGAGTCTTCCACAGGACAAAGAGGCACCGTCCTCCAAATGTTTGTTTCCGGCCAGTGTAAGTCCTTGCGCCTGCGACACTACCAGTCTCAAAATCTCACGTCATCCAGGTAAGGTCATCAGACTCGTGAAGCTTCAACGCCACAGAAAACAAGAAACTGACTGCATGTAAGATCCATGACCCGTGCTGGCACCAGATCAGCTCAAATCCCCAGATGCCCCGCAATTCGTCCCCGCGAACCATGCCGAGTAACAAATGGAAGGGAAGCTTCCCTTGATGCCTACACAGGTGGCTATATGCTGAGCAAACGAGATATTACCACACATTGAAAGTTCCCCTTCCCTTTCCGCGGGAGCCAGTGGCTGGTGCTCCGTGTCCGAGGCAAATTTGTGCACCATTGCAAATGCGGACGCGATTTGCGATTGACATGTACGGAGTACTACAATTACTTTCAATTATTGTGCATCCCTTTAAGTGCGTAGGTGCCAGTTGTGTAACTGGCCCACTTTTCCGCGAGATCCAACTAGTCCTACCTCTTTGGCAGTGAGGTTAGCTTCTTATACGTTTTATTAAAATATAACTTTTTATATATAGTATTTTTTATAACAACAATTTCCAAGTGACTTAAGTATCTTCAAATCTAGTCTTTTTTAATTATCTAGAATTCTTATTCATTAGAAAACTGGCACCTGCGCGCGGTTGAAGGGATGTATTGTACGCTAGACAAATCCGCATGCAGCCAATATATGGACTGCCTCTTTACGAATGTGAGTGAGCAAAGTTTAACCGTCCCTGGTTGGACTTTTACCGCATTGAGAACTAATTAGAAACCAATATTTGCCAGGTATTTCATAACATGCCCCTCAGGATAGGGCCAGAGACGTATGCTTATCTGATTTTCCTCTGGAAATAAACTCTCATCACGGCGCCGACGCGTAGTACTCTGTATGTGGAACCCAAACTTATTTCATCGCGACGAGAGGCTCTGAAGCTGCAGCAAATAGCTTAAATCACCAGGCATTCCCAGTCTTCCGGTGACGATGCTTATTTTTTCTTTCCATTATAAAGAAATGAGCGAGATGTTTTGCTAACTGTGTCTCAGAGGTCATAGTTGGAACTTGCCAGGAGCTGACCAAGGACGGGAAGTTCGAGAGGAAGCAGAGAGACCTCGGCACGCTTTCGAGACTATGGCCATATTGACACTTACCACGCTCATGGAGATCGCCAGTCATTATGTTCTAGAACGCCTTGATGTGGCCGTCGCTAACGTCGATCTGGACATCATCTTACAAACCACCAAGATTAGCATGAACGGGAGGGAAGTTTCGAGGATATTGCCCGGGCTTTGGTTTTACGACAGCATCTTTCGCCGGGGTACTGAACTTTCCGCTCGTTGGGTGCCCTTTCAACGTCGGTCCCGTTCCTGACCATCGCCTGGTGGGCATTCTAATTTTGTGTTGCATTCTCCAGGAGACACCATCATTGTAGCATCAACATCAGTGATCTCATCGGTAGAAGAGGCGAAAATGTCATCAAAAAGCAGGCGATTAGATAACCAGTGATGCAGAGGCCCTCCGTTGTGTCTAACAAAGCCTAACAGTGGCATGACTCAAACAGCGCAATTGTAACAACTCCAGGGAGAGGATTCGGATGAAGGGAGGGCCTATCGTCACGAGGCAGATCTACTTTACACGCAGCACTGGTCTAGACGGTTCACTTGGCCGATTGATGTGAGCTACAAAGCCTACCGTGAGGCTTTCGTAGCATTCGGAACAATAACGATGAGATTTTGGGTTCTCCCGGTTAATCAATCAGAATGATTGCAATTCGAGACCGCCGCTGATACATTGAATCTATGGCTAACAACGACCAAAGATAGAAGACGTGGTATCGCGTTCTGGTTTCGAGGGTATAAAGCATGCTGTTGTCAATCAGGTATGTGCTGTGATAAGGATTTTAGCAATCTGTGAGTTTATGGTAGTGAGTGGAGCGATACATAGCCACTGTTGGTTGATGGCCCTTCTGAATTATCACAGGACTCAGGTTATGATCAATCATTCCATAGCTATTTCACGATTAGGACTGGGGAAAAAATATCGGGCATTGATTGAAACGAACCGTAACCCATGCCGGCCAATATCCGCCTGGCTCACGCTGATCAAGGGAATTCAGAAGTTGGCGGCAACGGTTGGTATCAAACCAAAGATGAATCAGATTAGCCACTTGTGCAACATTTGAAGCTTCCACCTGGTGGATGTTTCTCAGCCCAAGCGCCACACAGGCATCAATTTCGTTGATTCCATGGCTTTGCGGAGTAGAATCAAAAGTCAATTGGAAAGAGGAGGGAGATTGATGGCTCCTTCCTGGTCAATGTGAGTGCACGTGGGGGGCAGGGGCATTTTGACACGGTCAACGGCACGTTGGCCGCCTCATCTCCTCAAAAATCCAGAGGGCACCTGGAGGCATTGAATCATTTGAATGCCCTTCCACCACACCTTTTCCCTTGACGTTCGCAGTCTATCAACGCTGTTCCTTGACACCCACTCAGCCACGCCTGCCCCGTTATCGATGCTCACCAGTAACACTCGTAGTAGTACTACGTACTATACGACTAAAAAGCACGGCAGATCCTCCGACCGATGGCGTGACCCCGCTACATCCAAGTTGGTCCAAGCCCGATCCAAATCTTGTGAGCTGACGCCATCGATGATTGCATCGGGTGCGGTCCAAGGGTGCTGATACAGTCGACGACCTCACAGCGGCTCCTGCTATGTGATGCCCTTCCATTTTCCAGATGGTGTCGTCCCCAAAACTGAGGACAGGTCGGGGCATGCATGCCATGGAATCGTGACCATAAGGCGAAGCAGGCCGCAGCAGCAATGCAGGTACCATGGACGAGTCAATGACGCTCGAAGATTGTTTCTCCATGATGCGCGCTAGTTTCGAAACGCATGAAGAAGCGGCTTAACGTGCATTATCAGACACATGGGAAGTGAGGCCGAGCCGACGCCACTATCGTTTTTTTCGGCTCTCCGAGTGCTTTGGACCAATCATAGCACACGATAGGCCGCAGGACCCTCCAGGCCAAGCACTTTTTTTCAACACGTAATTGACTCGGTCGGTACCCCGAGATCAAGGGCCGTCATGGTCAAGTTAAAGATGCAACGTGGAAGTGCACAGAATACTGGAACTCTTTCCTGTCAAGCATAGTTTGCATGTTGAGTTGCCACGGCACTCCCTCAAATTCGGCGTCTCCCTGCGGTCCCATTGCGACAGACTCGCTGTTCTAGAGCGAGAGGCGGCTCTGCAAACCGTCGATTTGTAAGCGCCATTTCTTGCCATACATACATACATACACCGTCGGCACGGCGCAACAGGATCCGAATGAGGCCAACCAGTCGCTCTCCATTTTGAGCCTCGTTGGCTCTGGGTTTGAGTCTGCGGGTGGCATTGAGAAACAAGAAGAGATCAGGATTGTTTGCGCACTTGACGATTTACAAATATCTTGGCTTAGCCTAGCGTTGTAACCTCGTACGGATTTCCTTTTCTGCGACAACACATGAGCATAGAACGGGCGTGAACAGGAAGTTTGGGGTTTCTCAAGCCATCAGCCACACTTTCTGTCGTCCCAACGCGGGGGTCTGTCGCCTCAAACCGTCAACATGACCGAAAACTGCCACGCAGAACGCCGGCCCATCCAGACCAGTGCCGTGATAGTACTTGGCGCAAGACAAAGACCAGCTCTTCCACCGCCATCCCCACCAACACCGTGTGCCTCGCCATCAGACCAAGCCCTAGTCGATCCAACAGAACCATTCAGCCTAGAAGATCAGGAGCGGGAGAGGCAGCACGAACAGCAGTCTGCTCAAAACAGCTATCAGCAATGCCCTCAGGAATCGCCGTCCAAGGAAAGCCGTCTCCGCCGCGGCTTACACGTCTTGAACACGGAAGCACTAGCATTGGCTGCCCTTACCAAGTTGTATGAAACAGACTCAACGGCCCGCGAAGGGTTTGACAAAGCTGTCCAGGTGATTACACGCCAAGCTTTGGCCAGCGGAAAGCTCATTGTGATTGGTGTCGGGAAGTCTGGCCATATTGGCAAGAAACTTGTCGCCACGTTGCAAAGTCTAGATATACGCGCCGTCTTCCTGCATCCAACCGAGGCATTGCATGGAGACTTGGGTATAATTGACGCCCACGACACACTACTCTTCATCACCTTCTCCGGAAAGACACAGGAACTGATGCTGATGCTGCCACACCTGGACGACGCATTGCCAACCATCCTGCTCACGTCCCATACTCACCGTGATACGTGCGAATTCATCAAGCGGCGTCCGAGGACTATCCTGTTACCGGCCCCGATCCCTGAAAGCGAGCAGGCATCCTTTGGGGTTTCTGCACCATCGACATCGACAACCGCCGCACTGGCACTCGGTGACGCATTAGCAATCACCGTTGCCAACGAGATTCACCATAATGTGTCTGCAGCATTCGCAAAGAATCACCCAGGGGGTGCCATTGGTGCAGCAGCGGCGACGACCGCGAAACCGCCCCAGATACTGGGACACATTTGCGTCCCAATAGCGGATATCCCTTCACTTGAAGGACTCGAACTGTCGTCAAAGGCCACAGGCATTGATCTTCTTCGGGCAGGATTCGGCTCCAAGTCCGGCTGGATAAGAATGGAGGACAAGGTTGCGGCGCCCAGTAGAATAAGGAAGATTAGCAACACTGGTATGAACCAGACCGTTGGGGAGTTGCCAAACATGTTCGTATCCCGCCACGACATGATTGTCATGTCGTCCGACACGACAATTCACCAAGCGGGCAATATGATCCGGACGGCCCGACGAGACGACGCTGAAGATATCTCTTGCGTAACAGAATCCATTGTTTGTGTCACGGACGGCGATAACGTCATTGGGATGGTGGAAGCATGCCATCTTCTCGAGGTTTCACAACATCAGCAGTAACCGCTCTGGTTTGTCATGCGCGCATAAAAGCTGATGAAGAAAACTCATCGTTTTTTTTGGGAGACTTTTTTTATTCTTAGTGGTTACATATTCGACAGCTTTTGCATTTTGGTTTCGCAGGACAGCTGGCCCTTTTGAGAGGGGCGGAGGTTCGTTTCGTGCATGGACAATGCACTTCGCATGCATGCATTGCGGAGGAAAGATTAGACGCTAGGGTGAAATAACATTTTGAACCACAAAACCGTGGCAATAGAAGCAGAAGGACAGGGGACATGGCAATATATTGAAGCTACGAAGAAGATTTGTGATTGGACATGATGAGTTCAGCTGCCATGCAGGCCCGTCGCCCAACTGCCACATTTGTAACGAGGTCTCGTCAGAAGACTGCGCCGGACCAAATTTCTTCGGTTCCTTTGCAAGCACGCTATTTACTATAGCTAGTCTTGTCCGTTCCGACCTGGCGAGAAATATATTGGTACCAGCGGATCCAAAGTCGGTGGCCGTCTACAGATGAGAAACCCGGTGCATGCTCCGTGCTGGGGGACAACGGAGGAGCTTCCTCAATAACTGGGTAGTTTACGGAGTACTACCTCGGTGGTTCACGGCGGTTGTTGGATATCCCAAGCCACGCCCTGTGTAATTCTGCAATTGGCCTCAATCAAAGCGCACGCCAAAGGCTTCGCTTTACCCCGGTCCGAGTGTGCAAGTGCGTCCAGGGATTAGAGCCGTCTCTGTCATAAATGACAGCGCAACCTGTCGGGCCTGTTAGTTGTAGTCATTCATGTTACACCGGCGCCTTGGTAATTCGATTGCTAGGTTACATTGCGAGCACTTGGCTAGCCCGTACGCCAAACCGTCACTTTATTCCGGTGGTGCAATCGGCCTTGGCTTGTGATACTTGATGCATGTAGGCTAGGCTCTCTCCTTTTTTCTGGCCCGATTTTACGGCTTGACGCCGGGTTGGGAATGGATCCAAATACTAGGTCAAAAGCCTGATGCTATTTGGAATGTATGCTGAGCCCTCGGTATGGAATTGTATGAAGCCGTACACTGGTTGCTGTCTCAGCTTTTTTCTGTCTGGTAAGAATCCTCAATGTAACGAATCGACTTTTACAGCTGCACGTTTCCACGCCTTGGCAATCTTGCATTGGGTCTCCACCCCACACGCCACACGCCCGTTAGTGCTGCGAAAGGTTGAAAAAAAAAAGAGTTCGAAGTTTCGGCATTGTCACTCGAGGCGCGCGACTGGGCCATGTGACCACTTGCCGCTTCCATCCAGCCTCAAATTTGCACACCAAAAGTAATAAGCCTGCCGGCGAGCTGTCCAGTGGAGATGTGGAGACTGACTCCGGGGTCAGTATTCCGCACATGGTACGGAGTACTAGTACTAGTACGGAGTACTGCTGCCGTGGAAAACAAAAATCTTTCATCAGGCATCTTGATCAAGATTATCGACCTGCAATAAGCCGTCCTTGTACCCGGACACTCCTCTTCCGGCTCTCTGTTCCTCGGTGACGGAGATGGACATCGCCAGCGGAGTTACGGCCAACTTTTTTGGTGACGGGCTTGAACCGGAACCTGCCAGCCTGTCAAAAGTCATGCGCCTTTGCATGCTGTGTTACTACACGCAATGCCCGTCGGAAGAAGTTCATTTGAGGAAACTCCTCACGCGACACATGCCGCCGCCGCCGATTTGGATGGACGTCTAGAGGCCGGGCTCCCGCTCAGTTGGTTTCTTGTCCGTCCTTACTCGTTCTCTTCGCCCGCGCAGCTGTTGGCAGGTGGGTATGAGAAACCTAGCTGGGTTGGGGAGGACGGCATGCGTACGTTGTCACGGTACTGGTGGATTCGAGCCAGTGCGATACTCCGTACGTGGCCGTTCAAAAAGGCCATGCATCAACGAGGCGATCTAGACCTCATCTTCGAACCACTTGGTCTACGCTTCTATAATTCGGAGAAGCGGCTGCTTCCTCGGCCCCTCTCCGGCGTGGTGATTTATCCTCAACAGGCAATGTACTTTAGCGGCCTACAGGAGTTGCTGGTAATTAGGTCTGATATGAGACTTCCCAGCGTATAGTAGTAGATTGGATGTGGACATTAGGATACTCTGCACTTCTATCTTCAAGCGGCGAGTCGTCCCGAGACGGGACAGATGTCGCGAGGCGCAGGATCAACATCCGGCAAGTTCCCTTTGGCCCTGGCTGAAGTTTGGGAGCCAGTCACTTTCCGGGAGAGTGGCATATAGAGTGTCCTCCGATTTCCATCCTGGGGGCGCTTCTTTCGCCGGCTATTGGCATACTGAAAAGTTTCAATGTTTCCATCACTCTCGTGTGTAACTGATGACTCGCGGTTATTAGCCCAGAAAGCAATAGTGGCTAGCTCCAGGCGTGCAGCAATTTGGGTGGTGGATATAAGGAGCGGCTTGTTAAAAACGCCAATCGCCTGACAAACTAACGACATAATTGGTGGCCTCTCGTACATAGGTCCCAAGGTTCGATAGTCGAATCAGGACTGGTGCAGAGACAAAGCATCGGTGTTCACAGGCACACGACAAACTGCCGTAACTGTGGCGGCTGAACTAACCGGTTCAGCCATTGGTTGAGGTGTCGTACTTCACCAACATTGTTGCGACATCTCTCCTGAAGCGTCAAAGTCGTGGTGCGAGATTTGACAGGTCTCATGCAAAGGCAAGAGTAGGGGTTCTTGGTGGAGGGTATCCCACATAAATGGGCCATGGCCCCTTTGCCAAGCAATCATCGTTGATCTCGATATGCTGTATGAAGGGTCTTCAGGATTCATTCGACGGATCTTGTTGTCCATGGAGATGCCATGGCTTCGAACTCTCTCTCCTCTTAAACAAAGAAAAAGAGTGAAGAAAATAAAGAGAAAAGAAAAGCAAAGAATAGGAGAAAGAGTAATATGTAGATATGCCCCGGAAACTAATTATCCTGGCGAGTCTTTATGATATGTATATTGCGTAATGCTGTCGCGCACAGGGGCCAAGCCAAGCCACTGGCTGAGTCCGGGGAATACATACCTCGGACCGAAGGCATCGGTTCAACACCAGAGGAAGCTACGAGAAATCTGGAGGATGTGTGGTCACATAAAGACCAACAACTTCCGCCTAGAGCGTATCTGCTCCTCAATCCGAAAAAAAAAAAGTTCCATAGGTCGAAGGTTCGCAGGGCGTCTTCCGCATCATGTGATGCGGGGAAGTTTCCAGTTGCATTTTGCATGATCATGTATGCATACAAGCAGGAGTGGTTACAAAACAATATAGACTGTGTCAGTTCGTTTATGGGGCCATGTACGTGTCAGAATTCTTATCGTGACCGGACGATAGTGTTTGAGGCTAATTGGACGAGGTCATTGCAGGTGGTGGCAGCGTGCTCTTCCTTAGGAGGGGGCTTCACCCTACAGGTTCGGATACAGTCTTTATCTGCTGCAGCAGATAACATTGCGTCGTCTCTTTCGCAGGGGTAAGCAGTGTAAGTGCCCACGAAGCCGCTGGGGTGCTGATAGTTCGAACTTCTTGAAAAAGGAAGCTGCATCATAGGGTCGTCTGATGGTTGCGGTGAGGCATTAGTCTCGACAATCGAAGACTCGTGTTTCCCACCTGTAACTCTTGATCTGGTATTATTCGCGTTTGTTCTTCTCCTGCCCCCAAAGATCATTAAATGACACTCAGTCATTACGAAACTAGCTTAGCTTTAGGCCCAGCGTATATAGTGTGGGCAAAACCCTGTAGAGCTAGTTGCAACCAGAAGTTGATTCTAGATTGGTGGCTGGTGCAGCGATCACCAATTGGCCGAGGAATCACTTGAGATAGATTTGCAACTAGGTCAGTAACCAGTAACCAGAGTACTGAGAATATTGTACTGGAGGTGACAAAGACGTGCCCACCTGTTCGGCGGGTTTCTGTGGCCCTTTGCAGCTCCTTAAATTGGCACTGGCTTGCCGGGACCCTTGCTCACGATTTCGATTAGCGGGACACCTGCTGTGACGACGGCATTCGATTGAACAACGGCATGCATCGGGGCATGGGGCGGGCACGGAACTCCACTGAAGAATTGAACGAGGCGCGAGGTTGCGAGGTTGCGAGGATGTCGAGGATTGAAGGATACCAGACTAAAATGACAGCAGGCCCGCCGCACCATTGGCAGCGGGTACGATGGAGTTCTGTAACATACATTTGGGGCTCGCGGATGAGAGGATTGGTAATTCAGGCTGCACTGGTTGCTGGTTTAGAGGAAAGGGACGTTGACGTCTGGATACAGCAGAGACGGGCATATCATGGAGGAGACAGAGGCAGACGAACCGCCATGGGAGGAAGGCACGTTCGGGCGGGGTTGGCGGCTCAAGAGGCAGGACGAATTTCAAGCTGCACTACTCCGTATATTTGAAGTATAAAGTACATATATGCCTCCTTGTCTTTGATGGTATATCTTGTACAGATACCTGCCCAGGTACCAGTTAGGTTCGATGATGCCGAGCTCGCTCTCCAGATTGAAAAGAAGTCTGCCAGGAATTGCTGGGACATGGAAGTTTCAACATATAAGACTTGGCTGCCGAGGACAAGAAACGCATTGCCATTGTGCCATACATACATACATGCATTTGCCCGCTTGAACCGCTCACATGCATGAGCCGGCATGCTGGGCTGCTGGGGTCATTCTCATTCAGATGGTGCTCCACTCGACCCAAGCATCATGGCAACGATAACCTTTTCTTTGCCTTGGACTCCATGTGCATCTCCCTGCCCAGTCCCCAGTTTCCAGGCCGGCGCAGCCATACAGCGTCGTCGGTTGACTGTGGCGTTTAACCGGACGACCAGCCAGAGTCTAGACACTGGGCCCAGAGACGGACACTGGACAGAGCACCTGCGCAAGTGTCTGGGACTATTGTCGTGACGCAGGACCTGGCCCTTGACTCTGAGGTGACGGAATGCCTTTTAGAGTGATGATGATGAGAGAGAAATTACTGGGCTGCTTGGCCCTCCGCCGCCTTCGGCGTCGCCATGCACGGTGCCGTCACAAGTGCCGGCCGGTCTGCTATCAATGCCTTTGCCATGACCTCTGGGTGGCCCAGTGCCTTGCGCTTAGTACTTACCTAGTGCCCAGTGCCCAGTGCCTCCATGTCCTTTGCTGGCAGGGTGCCCGTTCAGTCATCCTTATCATGACGGCCTCCGCCATCTTCCTCGCCACCACTGTTCTTTTCCAACTTGTTCTTTTTATACATTGGTATATCGCAGGTTGCCTCTCGTCCTACTGGCTCCCAGACCAATTCATCCAGACCCTTCTTTTACCTGCGGCTGTCCAGCATTTGCATTCCGGACCCTGCTGTTGCCGCGCCGTCTTTTGTTTTGCTGTCTCACCAACGGCCTCCCGAGAAACACCAGACCGAATTTGAACCATTGAATTGCCTGCTACGCCCATTGCAATCGAACATATATTCAGCACACGGGGCCGTTTTCTGTTCCATATATCTCAGCTCTTGGCTCTTGGCTCTTGGCCCTGTGAGATTGTCTCGTTCTTGCTGCTGCGCAGACCGGCTCCGGTTCGACAAGATTGGCGGCCATCGCAGCGAATTGCGGCGACCTGCATTTGCACCAGCTGTGGCATCAGCACTGGGCCCAACAGAGAGCCACGGCTTGCTGCGTTCAAACTTCGTCTAGCCACGCGGGATGCAATAACACAACCTTGCCCACCACGACAATACTGGCCGCAGTCACCAGTTAGCAAGAGGAATGAAATACGGGCAACAGTTGGAGCACGAGTCTGTTCCAGAATGGAGCCTCTGTAAGTGCTGTTCCATCCATCCGTCCTTGCATCAATCAGCCTGTGCCGCCTCTGCCATCGAGCATCGTGGACTGCTGCAACTCGGGCTGCAACTCGGGCTGCAACTGCAATGGGCATCCTGCATCGCGGATCGAGCCATGGCAAGTGCAGCCCTCGCAACTGCCTGCGCCAACCGCCTCCTCCCTCCCACCGTCCTGCGTCCATGACATGGTCGCCCCCAAACTTTGACCAAACTCTCACAGCCCTCCCTCCAATGTGTGCCCCCCTCCAACCCCAGAGTCTGCGCATTACCGTTGCATTTTCTGCCGATCCTTTCCTGTCGCACATCTCTGCCTATGCTGACACGACCGCCTCTTCTTGCGCCCCATTCAGACAATCTCGACTACAACTCTCTGAAACATGAGATAAAGGTGCACACGACCCGGGACCAGGCTACCGCCATTGCTATCCCGGGGCATCAAGATGCTACCTTGAAGAAGTTTGAAGACAATCTGTATGGCGAGCTATGCCGCCAGCATGATAGGGTGGACCTCTTCATCACCAGTAAGGCGGATGAAATTTCGAGGCGATTAGGTGAGCACCTTTCTTTTTTCCGTGGTTGGAATCCGCGTATACACGTCACGTATCCTTCATTTTGCTGACGGAGGCTTTCTACCCGCTGAAGAACATCTCGCCAGTCAGATTCAGCGCTGGGTTACCAAGTATTCTGATGCAAACGACTCTACCATCTCGTTGAAACGACAACGAAGGTTTGCCAAATACGAACGGGAACTGTTACGCTGTGGCGAGGAAATCCATGGGTTGTCACGGTTTGCCAATGCTCAAGTAGTCGCTTTTCGAAAGATACTTAAGAAGTACAAGGTATGGGTGCACAGTATTTACCTAACTGGTTTTTTTTTTCGTGTACTTTGGCTACAGCAACTTCCCAACTAACACCGTATGCAAATGCAGAAATGGACGGGATCAGTAACGCTATCCGCTCGCTTCAATGAAAACATTCTTAGCGACCCAAAGAGCTTTACAAAACGCACGTTTGAGCACCTCCAAAGCCGCCATGATGAAATACTCACTACCCTGCTGGCGGTGACCCCCCACTTCAGCGAACCTAGTTCGCCTGAATCTCATGGACATGCGGCACCAGAACCAGCCTCACCCAAGCAGAGCCGCCCTCGGCATGTAGACTTTGAACCGCTCCCCGCTGCGAAAATTGACTCGCCGGTTAAGTACTGGAACGAGTATGATGATGGCAGCGAAGCAGGAGGACCCGAAGATGAATATGCCATTTATATCAACCCCGACGAAGATACTGGGTTTCCTGGCTTTGCATATGTGAATGGCTTGTTATCGTTGCCGTATGAAAAAGCAAAGCAATGGTTCAAATCCAGGCAACCCAGCCACGAGACTCGACCCCTTCTTACTTCAGAGCTGAGTAGCCAAGGCAGTTCGGGATACGCATCCACTGCCGTCAACACGGATTCGGAAGAGGAAGGATATGCCAGCTCGGATGGATATCCTCAGCTTGGTTATGCTACGCACTATGCTCTGCCAAGCATCAGCGAGCAGAAAATTCAAAGGTATAGAGAGAGGGCACTCATGTGGGGCACCCTTGGTTGCTTCGTGGCGTCGTTTGCACTGCTTGGCATCGCCAGTGTGCTGATTCTAACTGGGAAACGCAAGCTTCGCGTTGAAGTTGATGCCGGTGTGACGATAGGCGTTATGGTCAGCCTGTTCTGCGCTGGGTCGGGACTGGGCATGACGCTCTATCGCCGGGGCCCGCTGTCCATCCCATACAAACTGATGGTGTCGAGTGCGTTTGTTGCGTCGTGTATTCTAAATGGTATGCTCCTTGTTCTGGTCATGGGAAATGCGTCCTGAGTTGCAGGAAATCGCTACATGTGTAGTTTGAACAAGTTGGGCCTGTGTTTGGAGAGGGCCTTGATCTGGTCTCTGTCATCTTTGCGATATACCGGCGTTTTGGAATTGGACGATGAAATTGGCACAGAGGCAGCCTTGGTCTCTTGTGTGTTGAATGGATTGTTGGATACTGCATCCTCCAGGCGTACATATGGAGGGGACTTTTTGGCTAAGGCGGCCATGACGATTAATGTCGATACCTTGGATATACCGAAGGCTACGAGGATAAATACAATGAGATTGAAGATGAATTCTTTCAAGAACCAGTTGGTTGATAGCTTGGGGAGGGATGACTCTCAAGGGAGTAGACTTCAATAGTCCTACCTAGGCAGGCACCTAGGTATATATGTACGTCTGCGTATGCATTTCTGTCTTTGGGACGCATCATCATCTCCGACTCCCGCCGGGCTGACGAAAGCCAAGTCACAGGCTACAGCATGACGCATCGCCGCGTACCAACATTTGATTTCTGATATAGCCGGTACTCCACAAACTACACGCAAGCCGCAACGGGTACTCCAGCCGACAAAAGCATTACGAAAAATAATAACAATGAGAGTCTATACTACTCACAAGTTCACAAGGTGCCGCAGCCCCAGCGAGATAGCTGTTTTGATGCCCACTGGCACGTCATAGTACGTGAAGAGGCCTTTGTGTAAAGACATGCTTACCGGCACGGGCATGCGCCCTGCGTTTTCGAGACGAGTTATGCTTAGAATCCTGGGCGCCGAGCGCCGAGCGTGCAGCCGAGAGCCGAGTTACGAAACCCTGGTACGCGTATCGCGGCGCTGAATTTCGGTTTCATGGGGGTGGTTTCTTCTTCATAATCCTCCGGCGTCACGTCCGGAGGGAAGGGGGGGGTCTGATTCGGTGCAGCGGCGCGAGTGAGCTGGGCGATGGGCTTGTCAAATGCGGTTCGTAATGAAGGACGGACCAATTCCACTTGTTGACGACTTGTCGGAATCACGCACTCATTTCCGGGCACGTATTTGACTCATTCGGCGTTGAAATAGCGTCAAGAGTGGGGGAGTGCCGGCTGCGCTTAGCATATTCCGCCTAGTATTTCACGACGGGCCTTCCCATCATGATGGGCCTTTTTCTTTTTCCAGCCATGGGATTCAGTGGCTCACGCTGGCAGAGTCACTTTACATCGTTGGTATAGAGTTCTTCTTCGGGGTGCTTGCTTGTCATGGCTCTTCCGGGGGGCTACCACTTGCGGGCGGGCACGGCGGCGGACCTGCGCACCGTGACGGGCTTGTACCTCGCGGGCTTTGGGCACGACGGCCTCCTGGACATCATGTTTCCCGGGCGGCGGCGGCACCCGGATGCGGTGGCGGCCTTTTTGTACCGGCACTTTCGGAGGCGCTGGTGGACCATGGGGTGGCGGCTGACGGTGGTGGTGGACGAGACGCTCGGCGTGCCGGTGGGATTCACCTGGTGGTTGCGGCCGGCGAGTCAATTGACCTTTTGGGAGACGTGGGTGTCGCCGTGTACGTGTTTCTTCCTTTTTGTCGTGGGAGTCTTGCGCTGGTGCTGACAACGGGGTGGGAGTAGATGCGTGGTTCGCGCCGCTCGTCAGGATGTACTTGTGCCTCGAGGCTCTGGTCTTGCGCTCGCCCATTGACCCGGGGCCCGTTGACGGCTTCTACCGTGCCGTGCGTGCCGCCGAGCCGCAGTTCCTCACAACTCCGCGCCGCAGAGAGGCCTGGTACCTGTCCACGCTGGCTGTTCACCCCGTCTACCAGGGCCAGCGGCTGGGCAGGGCGCTCGTCCAGGAAGGTCTCGAGCTGGTGGATAAGGCTGGCAGTGCCTCGTACTTGGTTGGGCTGAGGAGCGTGGAGGCGTTTTACCCCAGGTACGGGTTCAAGGAGGTGTGTAGGGTGAACGTGGGGGAGTTGAAGGCCTGGGATGGCGGGAGCGTCATGTTTAGAGAGTAGGGGAAGATATATCATATACCGATGCGTGTCTTGCTTGCTCTACGCAAAACTTTGGGAGTTGCATGCGTGAAGGGGCTGTTTTTGGTCATCTTCTTTCGGCAACGGCGAGGCACGGGCATCAACGCGATATATCGGCTCGCGTATTAGGTACAGAATTATCTAGGCTATGTATATAGTTGCCACCAGAAACAAAAACCAGCACACTTTCTCTCAAAAACACTCCGTGTCTTGTCATAACTCATCTCGTCCTTTTGGACTCTTGTCTCCTGTTTCCGATAGTACATAATATCCCGATTGTGATCCGGAGTATCTGTCTTTCCATTCGCCGTGAACAACCCCCCCAACTAATTGACTGCTTTTGTGGCCTGCGACTCGAGGTTGGCTGATTATCCTAATCGCACGGCCCCTGATGTAAGAGAAATATTTGGTACTGTCATAACTCCCGGTGCCATTGTACAGGGCAGAAAGGATGCGAACTTGAAGAAGAAAAAAACTAATACGAGCATAAGTCTAAAGGAATGTGTAGTCAACGGCCAAGCCGTGTCTTGTGTGGACACCGTACGCCACAATGTCAAAGGACCGAAAGGGGGTGTATAAGACAATTAATAGTGTTGGTACAAGGTCAGCCAATCAGCCGACCAGCTGCCAATTGAGAGTTAATTGGAGCTTCACGCAGATCGTAGTCCCGAGGTTCCCTTAGGCTCAGGGTACGCCGACATGCCGTTCTTGGCATCACCGAGAACACCGCTGTGAGCAGTCATTCCCGCGTGGGAAGGGGAGCCATAGCTTGGGCCATGGGCATATGAATACTGATTATGAAGGTTGGGAAGAGGGGGGACTGGAGGTGCATAAGTTGAGTCCCAAACAGGCTTTCCATACTGATGGTGCCGCAAGTCACCTTCAGCATAACTCTGAGTGCCGTGATGTCCACCATCATACATGGCAGGGGGTGGCACGTGTCTATTCGCTTCGTATCTTGCATGTTCCATGGTGTGACCGTTGCCTGAGCTAGACGGTCGACCCAACATAGGGACAGCTCGCCTTCCTGGGGTATAGGCGCTAGCAGATCTCTGATGCATAGGTCGTGCTGATCCACGCGTGTGAGACCTCGCCCCTGATAAAGGACTTCCGTGGCGCGGATACGAGATAGAAGTGCTGTTCATCTGCGCCGTAATGGAAGGCAGCATTGGAGGAGAGTTTGGACTGCTCTGACTACCAGAGAAGTGCACTGGCACATGTCCATAGCCAGGCGCTCTGTGATGTTGATAATATGGCTCAGGAGCATACTCGGATGCTGAAGGAACGCAGTTGTAAGATGCTACACGGACATGGCCTTGCACTGGGTGTGTGTGCTCGAACCTCCCACTGTTGACGCTATGGGCGTAGGGATTGTGATAATCCATCGGCTGAATCTTGGGCACAACATTTTGGGCACGCGGGGGACCCTCGGAGCCAGCCAAGTATGAAGACGCGGTGTAAGGGTTTGGAGGCCCAGCAAGAAAAGCTGCAGCTCGAGCAGTTCGCGGTCGTTTCCCCGAAGGACTAACCACATCTTCAGCATCGTATCCGCCATCGTGGACGTAACCCGCATAGCCCATGTCATGGTACATCGGGCCCGGTTGGGTCATGACTTGAAAGTCGGGTGCCTTTCGTTTCGGCGTCTTTGTTATGGACGTTGAACTGTTCTGTCTTCGTTGACGAGCTGATTTAGTCGTCTCCTTGTCCTTATCGTCGCCCACAATGTCCGGCAAGAATTCAATCTCGGGGACTTGTGTCAAGATACCACTCTTGATCTCTTTTCGAAGACGTCCCGCAATCTGGAACATGCGTTCGGTATCGTAACCCTCACCTAGCTCTTCGATGATCCAGGCAGGGATGTGGCCCGTTCCTACTTCGGGTGGCTCTGTCCCTCTTTCATGCCTTCTCTTATCACCCTGAAGCCGTTTCTCTTCTCGCTTTCGGAGTGACAGAGTCCATGAGTTGATGTAAGGGCCTTCTCCTGTGGCTTGATTTCGGTCGCTCCAAGCCTTTAGACGTTCGATCTGCGTCTGAACTAGTTCCATCTGAGTAATAGGGTATGTTTTGGCATTGCGATAGCGGACTCTCTGGTAGTGTTTTCGGCAATAGTATACCCACACCATCTTCGGTATCTTCAGCGTGCATGTTTTGTTGCGACCAAATAAGTGAGATATAGCCTTGCGAAGTTGCGATCCAGTATCACAATCCTCAACAAACATGCAAGCAGTCTTCCCATCGAGATCCTCGGCTTGAGTTGTGGAGGGGTTGGATGGCTTGGTAAGTTGTGAATGTTCCTTGGTGAGCGCTGAAGATGAAACGGCTGGGGACGAAAGAGTCCGAATCGGTTTCGGGCCAGCAATAATGTGTCTCTCATCTTGGCAATCAGTTTCACTGTTATCAGTGTGATCCAGAACGTTGTACTTAGTGCCGATCAATTCCTCGTTTTGAGGGCTGCTTTGTCCCACTGCAAGTGAGCTGGTGTCTTCTGCGATAGCCATGACCTCCCGTGGAGGAGGGAGTAGAGAGCGCGGATGCTGGAAATGTTTTCCCCGAAAATACTCGGCAGCGATCGACGGGTCTGGCGCGGAGATGGCTCGCTTGTGTGAGCCTGCTAAGCCAGGAAATCGAGGTTCTCTGGACGATGCGTCGCTTGAAGTAAAATTAGTCAAATATGTTGACAGCATGGGAGGTTGATAATATGTGTTGTAGATCCAGTAACGAAAAAAATGATAATCAATGCATATGATGGCTAAAGGGAGGGGAAAAGGTTCAAGAACATTGTCATTGCAACTTGCAAATAGAGACAGTCGTCAAGTTCATAGGCCCTGTTGTTTCAAGGGCCCGTCAACCCAAGCTGACAGCCGGACAATAAATACTGGTAGTGTTGTTTAGTGTAAACAAAGCATGAGTAAAGAGGTATGAATTGGGTTCAAGCAATTGTTAATCCTATTCAGATAGGGCAGTCACGTTGACGGCGTATGTGTGAACACATGATTGTGGTAGATGCTGAGTATGTGTGTGAAGTAGTGAGTGATTCACAACACCTCAGCAGCTCACAGCTGGCATCGGATCAATCCACGCGGCAAAAATTTGGGCATAGCTGAAGCCAGCACCATTTTCTCCCTCAGAAATCGGGCTCGATATCCTTTTTCTGCCTTTGGGGACAGGGCCAAGGGACGATGAGACTGCAACTCGAGCTCAAATCTGTCTATCCACTTGAATAGAATGCGCCCACCTTGCCTCAATGTGCATCACAGGCAATCAACAAGGAACAGCCTGGTGTCTAAGTGGGACAAAGGGAAGATATTACAGTGACTGAGCACAAAACGCAGAGATAAATCGAACTAAAGATGATAGACTTACCCCGTATGAGTCCCAGTTTGAGCGGGTTTGATGGCGCCCTTCATGTTGAGAACGGCGTCTGATGGGCTACCACTCCTTTTTGGAACATCCATCTCTCCAATTCGATTACTCGTTGGCAGTCGGCCGCCGGATAAGTGTGGTGTTTTGTTTGCGGAGGTCGGCGTCTGATATGGTTCACCGTGTGATGCCATTGCCGTCTCCAGTAATGGTAACTCCGTCAACGATGGACCGGCACTATGAATACCACTCACTGTCGTCACAGACGATATTCTGGAATGTGACCTAGATTTCCACGAAGCGTACGATGACAAGCTGCTGTGGCTATCAGAGAATTTGTGACCCATGGGTTCACGGGTTTCTATGCCCGTCTGGGAGCGGTCTTCCCAATGACTCGGCCTAAATAAAACTCTGGGCGTCAGGGCAAACCGTTATCGGTGGGGGAGCAACAAAAGACATGACTGAGTCCTTACCGGCAACTCTGCAGCCTGCTGGATGGCAGGGACGGCTGGGAGGATTCCATATCGATCGAAGCTGAGTCGGTTGATCCGTGCCTTGAGTGTCGTCCAAGGCCTAGAGAGTCGACAGAACCGTCTGAATCAAGCACTTCGCTCCCTGAACGAAATGAAAAAATTGAACTCGAGCGAAATTCGGGTTCACTTTGCAATGGTAGTGCGTAACCTCCCGCGCTCCATGGTGTCCTGTTCTTGGTAGATACTGATTCCCAGTCTTGCTGTGGTGTTGTTCTCTCAGGCGAGGGAGTCGGTAACGAAGCTGATTTCAAACCTCCTTGCTTGAATACTGCCGATGTTGGTGTGGTCTCTCCCTCAATCCTATCACAACCTGAAGAAGCTGATTGATTCAGCAGTGAAGTGACGTCCATCTTCCGGCCTGAAACCATGCAAAGCGGTCAGCGGGTAAACGGATGATATATGGCTCGAAGAACGAGTCGTTTCTTGGTGCATTAATATAAGAAAAGTATAACCTCCAGTCGTCGTCTCAGTCCTGGTTCATTCATTAAATGATGTGATGTTTAAAACAAAAGGAGCAAAGAAGAGTGTGTGACCTCCCTACTTGGACGGTCTCGCCTTTGTCTTTGTCAGGAAACACAAGCCAAGCGTATTATGCTGAGGCTCCGATCAAACAGAGGCTAGTAGGTAAGAGGGCAATGTAAAGTACAGCTTGCAGGAAACGCGAGTCAATCATGAAGCCCGAGGTCTCGCTCAGAAATGCAAAAGACGTCTGATGTTGAAGTGGCGCGTCAATGCTATTTGATTAACACGACACTAGCAAAAGAAACCAGCAAAGAACAGATTAACGGACCAAGTGTAAACATCGACAAGAGGGATGAAGGAAAAGCCATCAGACTTATTGATGCGATCGACGACGAGTGGATCATTCGCACTGACAACCTCGCACCCGAGTAGATCGAAACGGCCGAAACACAGGCGTACACAATGGCATTGGGACAGAGCCCAAGAGTCGGGGTTTGAAAACTGTGCTCACCGTTGTGCCAGGATAGGATGCTAGATCTTGGACGGCCCGAGCAACTTGGAATTGAGCCAAAGCTTCCAGAGACTTGAAATCAGGCTGTCTGAAACGAGGTGGCTGTGTATAAATCA